CCGTTGTCAGTTGATAATCAAATGTAGCTTAGTTGGTTATTATACTTCAGGTTTAAAATGTTTGATTTGGCTTTGTTTATACTATATCAAGAAACTGGTTTGGGTGCCATTGGTTTTATGCACACAAAGTCCAGGCGGTCTGTAAATAATCGAGTCTTGACCAGACAATCCAGTGATTGATATCATGAGCATCAATCCATGCAATTGGGATCGATGACATGTATCAACCAAGTCAGTGAGCCTGACCGCCCAATCCCTTTAGTCGCCTTTTACGACAAGCATAGTCACCTTTTACGGCAAGCATGGGTTGCTGAAGACCTATTCTACACCGAAATCTTCACAGGTAATTGCATCCATGACATCAGCTGAACAGATATCAGTATCTATGACATCAGCTGAACAGATATCAGTGAATAGATATATCAATGAACAGCTCAACTGCGAAGCGCTAGACGGATGTTAATCCTTTATGAAAACACTTCCTGGAAATTGTGTCACATTTCCTGTGCACACACCATGCCATTGACAGCGAGCTTGCAGTTGTAATCCAGTCTTTTGTGTGTACAGCTTTTATGTGTGTACAATCTCATTTGAAACATGTACACATTCTATGGTACAGACTTTGCCATAGAAAGTCCTATCATGTTCAGGGTTAGCTTAGCCAGGGAGAACAAGAGATGACTTGTACAATATACACAGGTTTATTTACATGACCATCATAAATATAAGTAGCTAACAATATATACAACAATGGTGAAAAACAATAGACTTCCCGAGCATGTTCCTAGGAAAGTGCATGTCTGTAGACACTGGGTAGGTAGATTAAACATGCACTTTCCAGCTGATAGGAGAAAATCCCAAGCGTATTTCACACGCAGGGTTGCACTATATTTCTGGTTAAAAAAAGTTTGCAATAATTAAGTGAGAGGGCAACCCAACCGGAGCTGTACCCAGAGGCCTTTTCTTCTGAATGAGGTCTAAAGAGATGGAGATGGTGGAAGTCTTTGTGCTATAGCTGGTGTTAAGGGAAAAGTCCCCAACGCGATATGCTAAGAGCGGTTCCAGGATGGAGACTAACTCCCTCGGGAGAGCTTTGCTAAGTTCACGTGGCATTGTAAGTGTTTGTGTCAAAGCCAACTGGTGGTGTGGTGGTGCAGACACTTCTTCCGGACCGATATTTATCCTGACAAGTCTACGTGGTATAGTGTTGGTTTGGGTAAGGGGACCAATCACAACAAGGGTAGGTTGTGTACACCGACCATTACTGTAGCTTCATATAGATTAATAGCTGATATTTACATTATGCAGTAATAATAATAATGACTCATGATTACTGTAGCTTTAGTACATATCCAACGGCATCAAGAAATTGCATTACAGTTTTTCTTCCACTAAGAAGCTGTGTCTTTATGTATATTTGGTGAATAACCACCACTTTCTAACAGTAACTTCAGTGTTAAAAATTAAGCAAATTACAAAACTCATGTTCATATTTAATGCCATTGATAGTCCACTCAATTCGCTAGAATGGTATCTAACAAGAATGAGTGTTGTATTTTCTAAGTATTCTATCCCTGCTGCTGTAGCGATCTGGAGTTAATGATGTATTGATCAACCTACCATGCTGACAGTGAAATAACTAGGATAATATGGGCTCTTGTTGATCGAACACCTGGTGTAATGTAGCAGTTGGTTGATAACTTATGCATACATCAATACACAATATGTTTATGTGTGGAATGTTTGCACAAGCATGATATTATTTCCCTGTGTTATCATACCCAAAAGCAGGGGTCTGGAAACCGTCATATGCGCCGGACATGTCCGATTGGGAATCTCAAATGTCCGGTTGAAAATATTGCTTACCGGACATTAAATTTTTTCTGTCCGGACATTTTAAAAAGTATTGTCCGGACATTCTTAAATTTTGACCGGACATGATCAACAGTTAGGACTGAGCAGTTTCTGTCTGCAGTTGTAACACAATGAAGATTATCTACACTGACAAGCTTTGTTTGTTTGATTGCTGTAAATACATCGTACCGACATGATAGTCCAATCGGTCAATCACTGTAATAGGCAATAAACTGAGTTGACACTGATTAATCGAGGATTAATTACTGAGAACATCTTGTTAATTTGAGTGAAAGGTGTTTACAACTGTACATAAATACTTTGCATCATCGATGTACCTCATTATCCTCACAATGCGACGATACGTAACCTCAGACAAGTAGCGTAAGCGTGACGACAGCCAGTCGACCGAATCTGCTAAAACCCTCAAAGTCTGGACGATCATTTGTAAGATGTGGCTAACTACTTTCACTTGGTTGACATTCAATGAGGATTTGCAGATTTTATTGTTTTCAGTAGCTAGTCGTATATTGAATCTTGATTGACCGCCATTTTGCTTTCTGTGACGATCGATAAAATTTGTATATGGTCAATAATTAAGTACAGATGAAAAAAGTATTCAAATAACTATTGCTATCAACGATATTTTAGTATTTGTGATTATATTATCTGTCTTGTTTTAAATAATCTTTAGTTTAAAAAAACAACCGTTTCCCGTGAGGTCACGTGATAACCAAATATGGGATAATAGTCTCGATCCAAATGTTACAACGCGTACACTTGAGCAGACTCATGAATATAACTCATGAATATTAATTAAACCATTCACTACATTAACAGATCGTTATTATAACAGAAACAAACGTATGTTTTCCATGTATATCAAAATGATATTATTTGTTATTAATTGTCCGGTGAATTAACAATTTAAATTGAAACAATTCATAATTCATCATATTATGAATACGTAAAAACTTGTAATGTGTGTGAAAAGTCGTCCTAAAATACGCTTTTTGAAGGGGGCGTGGCCTAAATGCAAATGTCAGATTGGGATTTAAAATTTTCCGGACCCCTGCCCAAAAGGCAATTAATTTGTAAAAAACATTTTTATGGATCTGCCAACATGGACATGAAAAATGCAAAATGAGATTATATTAATAACGCCAAATCTATTAGCTTAAAATTTTATAAAAATTTGTTCACATGAAATATCATCCAAATTAGGGAATTAGAGATTCCGGGTTAGAATAGGTCCCAGGAACCTCTGCTTCTATGTGTGACTGTATGGATTGCGTGATCAGTGTTGGTGACATGCTTGATTGTTTAGCATCGTACACTGACAGCATCAACTTCCTGAGGCAAGCTTATCCTCTAGCCTATATCAATTAAGGCCTAGGTTCTACCCTTGCCACATCAAGGCCACGTTTCTTGGCTCGACCCTGTTGCCACCTCAAGAAGATCAAGAGTTTTTACCCTTGTAATGAAAACGTGATATCCAATCAGATCACTGTTATCTCGTATAGCTTCACAAAGATGGCGACTACCTTGGGCAACGACCTAGTCAAGCAGATAACGAAAACATTCATGTTTCACTGACACAAAAACATAGGCAATCGTTGCAGGATTTAATACATGTAGATGAAAAACATATTCATGTCAACAACGATAGGCAGTCGTCCCTGACTTTATTGCACGAAGGTGAATCAGTCGTGGATGTTGATTTTGTGAAACATTCTCTGATTGGACTGTCGATATGTGCGATAGTCCAATCATATATAGCACAGGAAAGGGGGCTTGATTTGGCAAGGGTGGAAACAACACTTTGATAAAAAGGTTAGTGGATACTGACATCAATCACTTTATTGTATGGACCAGGCTCAGTATTGTGCAGTATTAAACAACGAACATGTCCAGCCTGAATTTCATTTAAATCAGATCTTAATTCTCCCTACCGCTAAACAAAGATCTGACGACATCCATGAATGGTAACGTCCCATTCTACCATGACATTGAAGAATGCTTGATTCTGATTGGTTAAAAAGAGGTTTCCTTTTTACTTCGGAAATCCCTTTTGAATACACTAACCCTTTTCACACAAAAAACGTGCACGAATACATTGATACATCGATTCATAAAAAAAATGGCTGCCGATCAATCACCACTAGGAACTGTAAATGTATCAATGTTTCCTCTATTACAGGCTTGGTCTGTGATACATGCCAAGTCAATGGCTCTCACGAAATTAATACATGGTCTAGCGTCTAATAGAGGAAATATGGTAGTTTGATATCAGATGTTTTTTGGGACGAAATGTTGTTGTATGCATACAACCATGGTTGACTCAAGGGACTTAGTCCAAACAAATGGGTTCTTTTCAAATCAATTTCAAATGGAGGTACGGGTAATTCCACTGCAAGAACTTTCCAGAAACTATCAAAGTTAATGTGTATACTTATAAGTAGACGTGACATACTTCAACGAGTCCTGTATTCGATCAAACAATGGAATATCATGCTTAGATTTGCATAAGTAAACAGTCGACAGGGGATATGGATTATGAGATTTACAATTCCACAGCTACAGCAACATATGTTTGTCAAATGAGGTGACATTAGGGAATGGATGGTCAGACTCAGTGACTCTGTTGGTTGTGTGTCATCGAATCCTAGAGTGGATCATTGCTCACAATATCAATCAATGGATTGTCTGGATGGCTTTTGCCTGATGTTTTGTAAAAATATTGATGAAAATATAATAATGCATTTGTTTTTATGGTTGTGAAAATTTCCTGTTTTAAAGAACACAGTTGGGAGACCAATATTACATGTCCTCTGACCCGTGAAGATCCAGGGAAGAATAGATTTTCAGCCACCCATGCTTGCCGTAAAAGGCGACTATGCTTGTCGTAAGAGGCGACTAACAAATTGGGTGGTCAGGCTCGCTGACTTGGTTGATGCTTGTCATAGTATCCCAATTGTGTGGCTCGATGCTCATGATGTCAATCAGTGGATTGTCTGATCCATACTTGATTATTTACAGAACGCGGTTATAAAGCTTGAGTATTGCTGAGTGAGGCGTTAAACAAAACATGTTCTCTATTGCTAAATTAGATATAGCTATTCAGCCTTTGTCCTTGTACTTCACAGAATATCCTGTCCCTGAACCCACGGGTGACAACTCATGCCAATGCTGTCCCCAGCGCTGTCACCAAGACAGCCAAGAAGCTCTGGAAGAGGAACCAGGACAAGTCTTGCTCTGTGAGTAGTCCCATTGGGGCACTGGTTGTACAGACTCTGTGAGTAGTCCCATGGGGCACTTGTTGTACTGACTCTGTGAGTAGTCCCATGGGGCACTTGTTGTACTGACTCTGTGAGTAGTCCCATGGGGCACTTGTTGTACTGACTCTGTGAGTAGTCCCATGGGGCACTTGTTGCACTGACTCTTTGACTAGTTAGGATAGGGATTTGAAAGATCACCGGTCCCCTAGAAGACTACTTTACTTTTTCGGAATTTCTTTTTGTTTTACCCTGAATTCTCTAACTTTAGTGATATTTCATGCGAACATATCTTTATACAATTTTATACTATTAGATTTGGCAGTATTAGAATAATCTCATTTTGCTTTTTTTCATCATGCTACATAAAAATGACAAAATCAAAAAATTAATTGCCATCAGGGTGTGGTGACACACAATCTGCCAAGTCACTGAGTGTTATCACCTGATCAATTTAATCACCTGTGATACCAGCATAGGATGCTGGTGACCAATTCTAACCTGAAATCCCCACAGTACAACCAGCATAGGATGCTGGAGACCTATTCTAACCTGAAATCCCCACAAACCAACCAGCATAGGATGCTGGGGACCTATTCTAACCTGAAATCCCCACAAACCAACCAGCATAGGATTCTGGAAACCTATTCTAACCTGGAATCCCCACAGTACAACCTGCATAGGATGCTGGAGACCTATTCTAACCTGGAATCCCCACAAACCAACCAGCATAGGATGCTGGGGACCTATTTTAACCCAGAATCCCCATGGTACGATCAGCATAGGATACTGGGGACCTATTCTAACCTGGAATCCCCACAGTACAACCTGCATAGGATGCTGGAGACCTATTCTAACCTGGAATCCCCACAGTACAACCTGCATAGGATGCTGGAGACCTATTCTAACCTGGAATCCCCACAAACCAACCAGCATAGGATGCTGGGGACCTATTTTAACCCAGAATCCCCATGGTACGATCAGCATAGGATACTGGGGACCTATTCTAACCTGGAATCCCCACAGTACAACCTGCATAGGATGCTGGAGACCTATTCTAACCTGGAATCCCCATGTGGGAAGCCAGAAGCAGTATATCTTGGTAATTCTATGATAAATATTTGAATTTCATCTTTTAGAAATGCTGCATGTTGTATAAGTAATGAAAATGTGTTAAACATTTTTTGCTCATATTTGAAAAATGCCAAGAGCATTATCGTCTGTCATTATCAGATGCTATATTTACATCATGTCACAAGTATAGCTCCCTTGAATGATGGTTCATGCCATTGTTGCTAGACCTGTAATCAGGACGTTAGACAGGAATCATGATAAATGAACATTGTAAGTGGCTTTGAAGGGTTTTCTGATAGGCAAATGTTGACAAAGGTCACTAAGCCACTGATAATCTGGATTGTTTGAGGTACACATACTCAAGCATAGAAGTAATCTTGCCTAGTAGTAATATTTTCTGCTAAAAGATTTGCGTGGATGACAGTTCTGAAATAATGTACTTTTATCAGTGTAGTCCGCTGACTTCCCCATTACCACAGTACTGACATGCACATGCTCACACCTATATTTGTAACCTTGCTTACATACATTTTCCTCACATACAGTTGGGTTGCTTAGCTCAGCTTGTCACAGTTTGCCGAGCTTATACAATGACATAACTCCAGCATGTATGTCAAGTTTGTCAAGTTTTATGACCACCCCAAAATCTAGGCAAAAGGGTCAAGGTCATGAGATCATGGCTGAAAGGTGAATGAAACTTGTTTTGAACAACAAATCTGGACAAGTAAGATTCATATCCAACTGAATTACATAATATTAAGGGTTCAAAGGTCACATTATGATCATGACGTTCGTAATATGTTCTTGAACTGGTTTGAACTTTAATAGACATCATAACGACAGTCCAATGGCAGTCCAGTAGCAATGGAGTTTGCTGATATGAGGTGCTGTGTTTGAACATGAACTACCAAGACGTCATGAACTCTGAATTTTTAATTAATTGGTTGTAATGATATGTGCAACCTCCCCCAGTTTGTTTTGTTGTTTAACGCTGCACTCAGCAATATTCCAGCTATATGATGGTGGTCTGTAAATAGACAAGTCTGTACCAGACACTCCAGTGATTGATATTATGAGTATTGATCCATGCAAGGCTATGATGACAAGCAGTCAGCCAAGTCATCAAGTCTGACCACCTGTTCCACAAAGTCGTTTCTTATCACCAGTTTAGGTTGCAATGCTGGGGACCAATTCGTATCTCTTTTCCCCTACGATCGCCCAGAATAGTTTGTACTCCCTCAAGTGACTTCAGAGCAGTTCATACCAAGGGCAGTTATGCAGAATAAACAAGATCAACACGATAGTAACTGCAATTAAAAGTATTTTGTTTATCAATGAGAAATAAAGTAAAGTTACTCACCAAACTATGAAGGAAATGGAAGACACACATACTCGTTCAGATTGGGAGAAAAAAACTGACCTATTTTAATACTGAGCTGGCATGTGAAAAAACTCTCTTACAGCCTATCATTAACCTATATACCGACTTTTTCCTATCACCGACTTATCCCCTGACTAAAGTATAACTATAGGGCCTACATCTATTACCTTGTTTAACACTACTAATATTCCGGGATAATCACTATGGGATACGGTGGCCTCCACCTGAGGGTCCCCTATCTGGAATTACTTATCAGGAAACCTGACATGCTGGACAATGGCCATGACCGTATTAGGCCCTTATTTACCCTGAGAAGTTCACCTTAAAGAGGTAAATATATCAAGGGGTACATATAGGTCTCACGGACATTGTCCAGCCAATGCTAGCGCTAACCAATCAGACAGAGCATTCCTGTCACAACCCACATGAGAAAACAAAGATGGCAGACAAACATCATGGTTACTACGTTGCTCAGTTACTCTATTAAAGCTGGAGACCCTTGAATATCTGGGCTAGAGTAGGTGTTCAGCAATTCATGCTAGGGCTGCAACGATACAGGAAGGTCACGATACGATATGCACCTCGATATTCTGGTCACGATACAATACGTATCTCGATACGCCAAAAAACAAGACTTAAAGCATGTAAAGATTGAACCTTTCATGATTTTGGAACAGTCAAAATTATTTTATAATAACAAGACTACTGAAGTTGTTCAACTTTCCTTCAAAACAATTCAAAGTTCAAACACCAGAAAATAATTAATGTACTCCACCAGTGATACAACTTAAAAGAATTTTGATGCAATGGTCGAAGAAATTTTATCTGAAATTATTGTTTTATCAGGAATAATTTATTCCAATATCGTGTTACCTTAGTTGCAGCTTTTACTATATAATTATATATATAATTATAAGAACCACAAGTGTAGCATTTTGGTACTGGTGATTGCTGTTGCAGGATAATTTTACGTATGGAACAATTTGACCAGTCACCCTAGGGACTTCCTGGCTACATGTATTTTGATTGTGATAACGTTATGTTGACATATATTAGCCAAATTGCCATAAATATGACTTTTAACGAGTCAAAGTATGGCATTTTTAATATATGTATCCATTCTCTAGCAACTAAAGTTCGTTTCAATGCGTCAAAAGCGGTAATCCGATCGTGGTTGCTTTATCTCTTCACACCCGATTTCACATAACTTAATGAAAACAATATTAAATGAAATTTTGAATAAAATTAATAAAATATATTACAAACACAAGCCCAGATTCAATGAACACGTCTTAATAACAAGATAGTATAATAATGGTATTGAATTGCGTACTTCAGTTCGGATTTGCTGACTGGTATTTTCGGTGTTATGTGCTTGCGGTGATCAGCTGATAATGTTTTATGAGATGTGGAAAAACATCTGTCGGTGTAAAACCTGAGCTTATAACAAATGTAAGTACGTTTTTGGGAGCCATGCGTTAACGCGCTATAATCAAGTTAGCGGTTTATTGAAAGGCACAATACCGAGGAAACACTGTACTTGAGATTTGCGTTCCGTATCGTGGCGTATCGATAAATGGGCCCATGTTTATCGTATATCGTATCATGGATCAAGTATCGCGATGCATCAGAATATTGGTGTATCGTTTCACCCTTCATGATTGTCGTAAGAGGCGACTAACGGGATAATCAGGCTCGCTGATCAAATCAACCACTGGATTGTCTGGTACAGACTCGATTATTTACAGACTGCAGTCATATAGCTGGAATATTGCTGAGTACGGCGGTTAACAACAAACAAAATAAAAAAATATTAAAGCTGGAAATATGCCTGAAACCTGAATTGTATGGTAAAGCATAAGAAGTGGAACAATGTGCTAAAAATATTGTCTCACAAGTGTAAGCTGTTGTACAGTGTTATATTCTGTTCTCATAAATATCTAAACACATCTAGCTGTCCTTTCCACCTTAATATGCAACTTCTTCCATGAGTGAGTGAGTGAGTATGGTTTTATGCCGCTTCTAGCAATATTCCAGCAATATCACGGCGGGGGACACCAGAAATGGGCTTCACACATTGTAACCATGTCAGGAATCGAACTTTAACCACTAGGCTACCCGCCCGCCCCACTTCCATGAACAATGACCGTGTGTATTGATGCACTGGTAGGGTGATGGGAAGCGCATTCCATTCCACAACTCATCTCCTTCTCAGCTCCGTCAGCCTGAACTCAACCCTCTCTCAGCTCAGGCTAAAATTACGAGACTTATTAATGGAGGGTTCCCTGTTAGAAATATTATTAATTCCCTTATACATGTACCTAACATTACTTGGACTGTATCTTGCATTTGGTGTCAGTTGTACAATAAAACCCAGGTTAATAATATTTTTTCAGAGTTGTAACAACTTGGTGAAAAACTTTGACGACATCAAACACACGACACTTAGCGAACGCGCTGCACTTCGGGAGTCAGCACGATGTCTCAAATGTGCCGACGCCCCCTGTCAGAAGAGCTGCCCCACCCAGCTGGATATAAAGACGTTCATCAGCTGCATCTCTACAAAGGTAGCTGAAGCTCATCCTTGAGTAGCCAGTATTGTCCATCTCTAATCTACTGAGATCACATGCCCTGAACCAATTCACTGCAATACTTTCACTGACAGTCAGGTTCGAATGACATGGTGGTAAAATTAGAGGTCCAATAAAATTACGTGTTTCTTTTCATGATTTTTACACAAGCTTTGTGTGCAACCTAAAATACACTGAACTTTCAACCCAATCTTAGAAATACAAGTTACTGTTTTTTTGGTTGCCTAAGGAAGAATATGCAACATTGTGTATTGAATTGATTAACTTTTGATTAACAATGTCTCACAAAGAAACATTTTAATGTCATGATTTGTCAGTAATTTTGTGAAAAAAGTTGAAATTATTTTCTTTGAATTTTCGAAATAATTGTTTTGCTGTTAATTAAGGGGGATGTTTGTTTCAGAATTACTATGGTGCTGCCAAGGCCATCCTGTCAGACAATCCTCTTGGGTTGACCTGTGGCATGGTGTGCCCGACCTCTGACCTCTGTGTCGGAGGTTGTAACCTTGATGCCTCTGAAGAAGGACCAATCAACATCGGCGGCCTCCAGCAGTTTGCCACTGAGGTAAGGTGACGAGGATTAGGAGGATAATGACAGGACAGTCCCGGGAGGGATCCAATAGCTTGCCATACATTAAGAGCCAAGTGATGATTGTTTATTGTTTACTGCCGCTATCAGCAGTATTCCAGCTATGAGATGGCAACCTGTAAATAATCAAGTGTGGACCAAACAATCCACATTATCGGGGCCTGATGAAACATAATCAACGAGCCTGACCACTGATCCATTTTGTTGCCTCTTTCGACCTGAATAGGTTGCTGGAACCAATTCTAACCATGAATCCCTGACTGAGAGGCTAGTGGTTTTCCTGGTCCAGATATAATGCTATAAGCTGCCATAATGTAGCTGTAGCTGTTACCAACTGCAGCATAAAACAACATTCATTCACTCATGATATTGGACAGTGAATGTGATATGAGAATACTCTACATTTTTAGCTCACCCGACAGAAATTCAAGTGATCTTGTCATTGCATGTTGTCCATTGTCTGTTGTAAACTTTTACATATTCAACACGTCCTCTACAATTACAAGACCTAAAGAGTTGAAACTTTGCATGAAAGATCTTAGCAATGGTTTCCTTGAAATGTGCCAATCTGATATTAAACATAGCGAGGGCACGGGTGGCCCAGTTGTCTAAGGCGCCGCAATTCGCTTTACAGAGTTGTGTCCTTTGGGCATGCAAGAAACCTATGATAGTGGGTTCGAATCCCGATTTGCCCCAGCTTGTGGGTTTCGCCAAAGTGGTAAACACCTGGTTCGCCCCGATTATGAAAACTTCTAGGTTTGTCAGCACCATACCCATGCTTGTGGTTTTCACCGAAGTGGTAAACATCTAAGACCTGCATCATTTCGGGCTTTCCTCCCACATTAAACTGACATGCCGTGATATAACTGAAATTTTTTAGAGTGGCGTTAAACCCTACTCACTCACTCACTTAAACATGGCACTTAAACAATTCCAGTGAGCTACAGAGGATGTGGTCCTATTTTATTAGCATTAGTATGCTGAATGTTTTATAAAATATGGTTGATCATGAAACATGTTTGCTTGTACAAAGCTGTGCATTGATGTTCTTCTTTTAGATATTTAAGACCATGAACATACCTCAAATCCGTGATCCGAGCTCAGTCCCTATTGACCAATTACCTGCCAGCTACAAGTACAAGATTGCCTTGATTGGCTGTGGCCCAGCCAGCATCAGTTGTGCCACATTCCTTGCTCGACTTGGATACAGTGATGTCACAATATTTGAGAAAAATGAGTATTTGGGAGGTCTCAGGTAAATTAAAAAAGACACTCAGATATTTGCAGACTGCTTTGATATAGCTGGAATATTGCTGATTTGTGTAATCTGGAATTTGACATAAACTTACATCCTAAACTGAGACTTGGTGTGTGTGTATTTCAGCTACTATGATTAGTACAAGAACAGTCAGTATTTGTACCGAAAGCATCTTCGAATACAGTTTGAGCTAGGTGAGCTATTTATTATACCATGTAGACATGGTGTGTGTTTTACTTGGGTATCATACACTGCATGTTTCAGCACGTCAGAGATCCCCCAGTTCCGGTTACCCATCAGTGTTGTCGACTTTGAGATCCAGCTGATGAAGGACTTAGGAGTCAAGGTGTGTCTCCTTGCTTTTACTCTGAATTGATACCTTTCTGCTTCAAAATCTGCCATGATAGGGCTGTGGTATAGCTGTGATATTGTAGCAGGGCGTGGAGTCATCCCACAGAAGGCAGCCTTATCTTGTCAGCTTGATGATGGCATCTTTATATATATATAAGTCCCTTACCAAACTAGGCTGGAATTATGGAGTTTTATTTTGGCTGGACCAATGAGTCCAATCAAAATTGCATAACAAAATCAGTATCCCCTTCGGAAACTGTTTGCAAATTTCGGTCAATTGCAGGATTTGCAAAGCATGTGTACTGCCAACCAATATTTTCCAAATCTGTTCATGTTTTTAATCAAGGTGCTTACATGATTTGATGCACTTTTTGAAGTACGACCCATTTTATTAGATCTTGATCAGATTGTCTTGACTGGGTGCCGTTAGTGATATGAGATGTGGAATCTGATTGGTCAATAGGAGGGACATAGAAGTAGACATCACTCGTAATATCCTCTGGTGGTGCTACAATCGAGCTCAGAAATTCTAACCTAATTCTGTAAAGGTGGAAACTGGACTTTTATGGAAAGATGGATGACAGGGTTAACCTTTTTGTCATATGGACAAGGCATTTGACCTCTGTTCTGAAGGTCATCGCTGTGATATAACTATAATACAGCCATATCACTCTGATATAACTGTAATACAGCCATGATATAACTGTGATATATTATAATACAGCCATAATATCGCTGTGATATGACTAAAACAGCCATGATATCGCTGTGATATGACTAAAATAGCCTTGATATCATTGTGATATAACTGTAATACAGCCATGATATCACTGTGATATGACTGAAACAGCCATGATATTGCTGTGATATGACTAAGACAGACATGATATCATTGTGATATAACTGTAATACAGCCATGATATAACTGTAATATAACTGTGATACAGCCATGATATCGCTGTGATAGAACTGTGATACAGCCATGATATCACTGTGATATAACTGTGATATAGCTGTATTATGGTAGACATGTGACTGTTTCTGTAATATAACAACGATATAACCATGATAAAGCTGTAATTGATAATGGTGTAATATTGGAGACTGTTATAAACCAACATCCTCTCATTGACTGTGTGTGGCTCAGGTTGAGACAGGTAGATCCCTCAGCACCAAGGACATCACCCTCAAGTCACTGCAACAACAGGGCTACAAGGCTGTCTTCATTGGAATGGGTAGGCAGGCTCACTAGGAACCAAAAATGCTTCATACTTCCAATTTTCAAAATCATATTGATACCAACATGTACATGTGTTTGAATTGTTGATGTATGCATGTACCTAAGGTTTGAACTCTCTCCTTTAACAAATGCAGGGTCTCCTTGTGATGTGTTTCAAAAGTAACTACCAAATACAAAACTGAATACCGGTATGCTTCATAAAAGCTCTTTGGCCAGCTGTTGTTTGTTGCTAGAGGTGAGGTGTGTCACATGATCAGACTTGGTGACGTGTTTGATTGACTTGTGAAGATCCTGGTCAGAATAGGTCTTCAGCAGCTCATGCTTGTCGTATTAGGCGACTAACAGGATCTGGTGGTCAGGCTTGCTTACTTGGTTGATGCATGTCATTGTATCCCAATTGCGTGGATGTCAATCTCTGGATTGTCTGGTCTGGACCCAAATATTTACAACCTGCCATCACATAGCTGGAATATTGCTGAGTGCGGTGTTAAACAACAAGCAAACACAACATCGTAGCCTGATGGCATGGGAAGTGCTCATAATATCAGCCACTGTTATTTGTGGTGCAGGCCGCTGTGATATAGCTGACATATATCTGACTGCCGCATAAAACAACAAGCAAACAAAACTGTTCTAGCATGTAGGTCTGTCATGTCGAATTTTCCTATCTATTATCATGATGATTCCATTGTTACAGGCCTGCCAGACCCCAAGAAGATCCCAATATTTGCTGACCTCACGGAAGACATGGGTTTCCATACGTCCAAGAGTTTTCTGCCAAGGGTGGCAGCAGCAAGCAAAAGTGGCATGTGTTCATGTAAGACACAGCTACCTCAACTCCATGGCAATGTCATCGTCCTCGGAGCAGGAGATACAGCGTTTGATTGTGCAACATCGGCGTTGAGATGTGGTGCTAAACGCGTGTTTGTTGTCTTCAGGAAAGGCTTCACCAACATCAGGGCTGTTCCTGAAGAGGTAGATCATGCACTTGATTTGAATGAGTTGGATTGCATAATAAATGCCATATAGGAATATCTGATCAGCACTCCAGTGTCCAGCGCATGTTGTAAGAGCACATTAATGGGGATCTGGTGTTTAACTCGTGGATGCATCGCTTGAGAGCCAAGAGTTTATCTTACTGTTGAAACAGCACTTGTAAAGAATATTATTTATGATACCTTTACCATTAGGACCACCGAAAGGGTTGTTTCAAGTCCCCCCCTTCCTCATTTTTACCCCCCTGGTCTTTTTAAATTTTTGGACTTTTTTTAAAGGGCAGGTAGCTCTAACCTGCTTCCCTAAAACAAACATACAAACTGACCATGATGCTCGATGCGTCTCGTGTCTTTGCAGGTTGTGCGTATGTGGAAGATTATAAAGATTATAGGATTATTGAGTGCAGTTTAGACATCACTCGGTGTGAAAAGGGCATTTTAATACCAGAGACAACTATATGTTCTTGCCTTCAGATGACAATGTCATGCAAGATGTCATTTCAAAAACAAGCAAAAGAAAGCCCCACAAAAGCTGCGCCATCGCATCATGAGACAAACCAAAAGATCAGAAACAAGACTTTTAATCCCCCCTGCAAATAATGCGGGGGGATATAGTCATCATCTGGCCTTTCTGTCCATCAGTCCGTCTATCAGTCTGTGTTTTGTTGCCAAGCAAAACTTGAAAACCATGAAAGATTTTTCATCCAAACTTGGTACATGTATTAACCAGTGGCTGAAGTGCTTCCTTTTGCTGTTATTGGGGCCAGGGGGATTTGTCATCTACTTACGACTCTTGTTCTTTTAGCCTTAGGCAAACTGACAAACTACTGGCAGACAGATGTATTGAGAACTGTGCAGATGCATTTATGCAACGTATGCTTAGGACCATACCATTTGGACAGGTAGTTTTCCTTTGCAAGCAATATACCTACCTGGCAGCCACATGCATAGGTACTAGGGCTGCAACGGTTCGGTTCGGTGCACCGAGAACCGGTACTTGTCGTCTCAATTTTATCTTCGATCTACAATGTCTAGATTTCGATTCAGTTCATTCCAATTTTTGTAATAAATTTAAAATTAACAAAAATAACCTACCTCGTTGGCGAAAAAAATAAAAGACTTGAGTTCATATCGACGAAGTGAAAATGTCCAAAAAAGCATTTGTTTGAAACTTTTGACAACTGTCACTTGAAAACGAAAATAGACCTCCCTTTGAAAGCATCGCAGACGACGTGCTGTAACCAGCCCCAAGTCATCTAAAATCTAAGGTTTGGGCTCAAGTGTGGCTAGTGAGAGGGTCTTTTCAACAGCCGGGGATGTTGTGACTGCTCAGAGGGCTTCCCTCAGTGGTGACAATGTGGACATGCTTGTGTTTTTATCCAAAAACATGATCATCCCTGATGACCTGATTGACCTCACAGTCTGAGGTGATGAGTTTGTCCTGTTGGTGCACAGTGTTGCACTGTTCAATAAAAAAGTTAAAGTAAATACATGTTTTGTTACTTATTTATGCATATTATACATGAATCATTATATATTATTAGACTAATGAATCGAATCGAAAATAATAGAATCGAATGGAAATAATCGAGCATCGAACCGAATCGAAGTATTGGTGAACCGTTGCAGCCCTAATAGGTACATGTGACTGTGCTGTGCCCACACAAGTATGGCATACCCATAACCCCTTACAAAATTTGGATAGTGCCACTTATTCATATTCATTGGGGCAGGTCTCAGTGTGTAGTTTTCAATTTCTACCCAAGGCTAAAGATGACTTCACAATATCTAATGTGGTTTCTATTTCTGTATCTGAATCTAGCCATACCTAAAGGATACTTTACAATGTCTAATGTGGTTTCTGTTCCTGTATATGAATCTACCAATGACACTGTTGTCCACAGATGGAGCTAGCAAAGGTGGAGAAGTGTGAGTTCATGCCGTTCATGTCACCCAAACAAGTGTTGACCAAAAATGGCCGAGTTAGCGGGATGGAGTTTCTGCGAACTGAGCAGAATGATGCCGGAGACTGGGAGGAGGATGAAGAGCAGCTTGTCCGAGTGAAGGCCGACTTTATCATCTCTGCCTTTGGATCTGGACTCACTCTGGAGGATGGTGAGAGTGTCATTATTTGTGAATCGTGAACTAGTCATAACCACAGGGAATTCATTTTGGACAGTTTTTGAACATTTTGAACATCACGGCATGTTAGCTTGATGTGGGGGGAGAGCCTGAAGTAATGCAAGTCTAAGACATGTACTGCTTTGGTGAAACCCGTGAGCATACTGATGATTTAAAACTATTTTATTGCGAGAAATAAGATGGATTAGTCACATGGAAACACTTAAAAGGCCTTCTCCAAGAAACATAATCATGGCAAACCGTGATTTGAACCCATGATCATAGGTTTCTGTTGCACTTAAGGGAAACAACTCCGCACACCCGAGAAAAATTGTGTTAGTACTTAAACTGGTAGTTGAATCACTAACTTAGATATGGAATATAAAAGTTTTTATGTTTTCTTGAGTTTTGTTTGATATGCCAAACTGTCCAGGTATTCATGCCCCTGGCTTTGTTTCAGTGATTCAAGCCTTGGACCCCATTAAACTGAACAGATGGAACCTGCCAGAAATGAACGACAAAACAATGCAGACATCCGAACCGTGGGTGTTCTGTGGCGGTGATATTGCTGGGGTAGCTCAGACGACGGTGGAGTCCACAAATGATGGGAAGATCGCTTCCTGGCACCTACATAGATACTTGCAGGTGATGACCGGGAACTCCGAGGGGAAGGGGCTGCACATCAGACCTGCTTCATCCCTGGATGGGCACCGCAGTGAGATGTACCGTATATTGCTGTCTATAAACTAACCCCACTGTAAAAGCCATGAAAATTGATGCTAATTTATATACCCTGTCTATATAGTGAAATGTAATGAAGCACATCACCAGTGCACACACACAATCCCTACATTTGAAATAAAACGTGTCTTCTGCAGAAAAAATTTACATCATATCCCTTCAGCGAATTCAGGTAAATGAACAGGTGATAACAATTTATATTTGTCAATACAGATTTGCACTTTGAGATAAAAAATCACTAGATATGACAGGGCCTAGTTCTATACAGCTGCAGTAACCATATCTATGCCCTGCGCCCTTCATTTTGACTTGTCGCACTACACAGAGCTACAGGCTGTCCCATTATGTTCTAATATATTTCAATTTCGGAACATACACAATTAACAGCCATGCCTTAATGTACATGAATTGTAACCCATGAAATCAACAACATGATCCGTTTCCTAAACACGTGCTTTGAAATATGTGTACTTCTTTGATCATGCTACTTTCCATGTACTTATTGGGTTGGGAATATTGAGAGGGTGCAGATGTTTGGTCACCATCACTGACCGCAATTGCTCACAAAAAATCTTTACAGATCCAGTTTCAAAATTGATAAGTAAGTATATTATTGCATGATCTAAAATATAAGTACTCATATTTAAAGGCAAGCGTCTTAGAAAGTGAATCATGTCGCATTTGTCGTAAGATCACGACACGTGAACATGGCTGTACCATATATATTGCAATGCATATTTGGATTGGGAATCTGTTGGATAAATAGTATGGGACAGCCCGTAGCTCTGTGTAGGGACACGTCATTATCTGAATCGTTTATAGGGAGCAGCACAGGGATACGGATACCGCAGCTAAGTGACATACAGCTGATTTAACAATAAGTTTGCAGGGTGTCGTAATTCCTTGTATTAGGACACATGGAAAATAATGATCATTCTTAGTGAGCAGTGTGGTTAAGAAAGCTGCAGATGGAGAAATTGATATGGTTATTATCAATCTGAATGAAAAAAAGGAGTAAACTATCTAAATAACAACGGCTTCGTTTGGCCCAAGAAGGTGATGTGTGTCCAGGAACTAACACGGATAATGGATCCATATTTCTGTTGCAGAGTCGAGATGAAGTCATTGTTGCCCCAGAGCCAAGTCTGCCCAACTTCTTCACCCCTATAGACGAGGTTGACCTGAGTGTGGAGATCTGTGGTCTCCGCTTCCCCAACCCCTTCGGCCTGGCCAGTGCCCCGCCCACCACCAGCAGCCCCATGATCCGAAGGGCCTTCGAGGCGGGATGGGGGTTTGCCCTGACCAAGACATTCTCCCTCGACAAGGTACAGGCTTTGGGATAACTTGGGTGACTACTGAGGAACATTATAGTATTGCCATAGTATTTCCATAGTTAACACTGTTACAATATGTTGCAGTATATTATAAGCCAGCAAGCATCGTCCACCTGATCCCATTAGTCGCCTCTGACGACAAGCAAAGTGGCCTTTTACCTATTCTATTCAGGTCTATGAAGCCTGTATACAGAGTCCTAGAACCTGTGAATATCCGGGGTAGAATTGGACTTAAGGAACCCATGCTTGTCATAAAATGCAACTATGCTTGTCGTAAGAGATGACTAACTAGATCGGGTGGTCAGGCTCACTGACTTGATTTATACATGTCATCGTATCCCAATAGATGCTCATGATGTCAATCAGTGGATTGTCTGGTACATACTCAATTACATACAAAACGTCATCATATAGCTGGAATATTGCAGAGTGCAGCATTAAACGCCAAACAAAGAAAGTCCTAGGTTCAGCTTAGTATATTGTTAGTGTTAAGAGAGGTACCTTCTATTTTTGTCTGATGTATAATGTTGAATATTTTCTGAATAGATACACTCGTCTTTACATTCAATGTGTATTTTGGATATCAATGAATGGAAAGGTTTGTGATTAACAGTATTATGTCATTTTATTTTGTCTTTCGATACTTGCGATAGCGTAACTCAACATCAATGTCAGGTATTTGAACTGGTTATCAGTGTATTGCAATGCATTGATCGATTGTTACAACCCTAACTGAAACATATGGTTTCTTAGTTGTATTCAAGGCTGGTTAATTTCAGGTCATGCATCACTGTTGGGATTCTGTGTCAGCAGGTCCCAGCATCCATACTTGTCAAAAGTGGGAGGTCAGACTCACTCAGGCTAAATGTGTGTCTTTGTACAGCCACCGTAGAAATTGGGATGCTGTTATAATCTCATCAATATCAGTCACCTACTGGTCCAGATAGTTCCTTGACAGATGATCGTAGGGGAGTCTGACTGGCCAAATGTGTGTCATCGTACAACTTGGGATGTTGATATAATCTCATTAAAATCAGTCACCTACTGGTCCAGATAGTTCCTTGACAGATGACCATAGGGGAGTCTGATTGGCCAAATGTGTGTCATCGTATAACTTGGGATGCTTATATAATCTCATTAAAATCAGTCACCTACTGGTCCAGATAGTTCCTTGACAGATGACCATAGGGGAGTCTGACTGGCCAAATGTGTGTCATCGTATAACTTGGGATGCTTATATAATCTCATTAAAATCAGTCACCTACGGGTCCAGATAGTTCCTTGACAGATGACCATAGGGATGTCTGACTGGCCAAATGTGTGTCATCGTACAACTTGGGATGCTGATATAATCTCATTAAAATCAGTCACCTACTGGTCCAGATAGTTCCTTGACAGATGACCATAGGGATGTCTGACTGGCCAAATGTGTGTCATCGTACGACTTGGGATGCTGATATAATCTCATTAAAATCAGTCACCTACTGGTCCAGATAGTTCCTTGACAGATGACCATAGGGATGTCTGACTGGCCAGATGTGTGTCATCGTACAACTTGGGATGTTGATATAATCTCATTAAAATAAGTCACCTACTGGTCCAGATAGTTCCTTGACAGATGACCATAGGGGAGTCTGACTGTAACACTAACCTACAGTTACTTGCTTCTTTTGTGTAGGATATTGTGACCAATGTGTCCCCCCGTATTGTCAGGGGAACCACCTCAGGTCACCTTTTTGGACCAGGTCAAGGGTCGTTCCTCAACATCGAGCTGATCAGTGAGAAGACCGCAGCCTATTGGTGCTCCAGTGTCACTGAACTCAAGAAGGACTTCCCAGACAGGGTAACAGTGCTCACAGTCTTGTAGTCCCATGCTTCATATGTAGATTTCCCCTGGTGTACGTGGGGTAGAATGTGTCCTCAGCACCCCATTGCTGGTCGTAAGAGGCGACCGAATTGGGCTACCTTTGAAGATCTGGGTTAGAATTGATCTTCAGCAACCCTTGCTGTCATTAGAGGCAACTAATAGGATTGAGTGGTCAGGCTCGGTGAATTGGTTGATGCATGTCATTGTATCCCAATTACGTAGATCTATGCTCATGATGTCAGACACAGGATTGTCTGGCCCAGACTCAATTATGTACAGACAGATGTCATATAGCTGGAATATTGCTGAGTGCTTCTTTAAAAAACAAGCAAACAAGACTATATGCAGGTTATTATGTAAGTGTGTCATCATGTAGCAATAAGTGCCAGAATTTGATGACTGTTTGAGCACTATATTGGGTGCGTTATTAATAGTGTTGGCATATATTTACCATGAAAAAATGATCTTGTGATGTTTTCTGTCATTTTCAAAAAGGAAATGGTGATTTACAGAAGACCAGTCGTAAATAGTCATTATTTTTTAAAAGTTTTTGCATCAATGATGATCACTTCTGAAAATCTAATTGTAAACAAAAATGCAGGCAAAAAAGCAGGATCTTGTGCTATGTAAAAACCCTTCATATCAGTAAACACAAAAACATGTTGTTTCTTTTGCATTTTCGTACCTCATAATCAGCAGTTGAAAGAATTGGAAGTGAATTTTCATGAAAGGTCCACATCTAAAGGCTTCCAGAAGTATTATGTGACATCAATATGTCATGCTTTGAACACCTTCCTTTTACATTACACGTACTAATTGTGACAACTATAGTCAACTGAACTGCTTTCCCTGATGCTGTTTGCTTTGTTGCAGATTGTGATAGCCAGCATCATGTGTGGCTACAGCAAGGAGGACTGGACACTGCTGGCCCAGATGGCCGAGGTCAGTGAGCAGGAGCAGTGTCTGGTCAGGGATTTATCTCAACCTCTAAAGGGGCCGATATTCGGCCCCAAACCTGCAACAGATGATAGTGAAAAGGCCCAAATTGAAATAATCTTTTCCCAATTCTCCGGAGTTTATTTATATCATTAAAAACTTCCAATTTTGAACAATATTACCAATTTGGGCTAATTTTAAAAGGCACTTAGTTTTGAATGCTAGATAACTCCCTGCAGGTAGACAAATCCCCACCCAACCCCACCCCACCCAGTACTAAGAAAACCTTCCCCAACTTCCCCCCCCCCCCCCCCCCCCCCAAAAAAAATAAATAAAAATAAAAATAAAAATATCTCCATCCACATCAATCCATTAGCCAAGTGTGTTTTCATATCTCAAAGGCTTGCATACTGGGTAATACATGTTTATTCCTAATATATATATATGCTATTTATGATACAGAATCACAGAAGGCTAATGATCGTATATGGTGTCATTCTTAAAATGATATATTTTCATACACGAAAGCAATTTCAAATGTCTGAGTGAATTGCCCTATTTATTGTATAGACACAAATGAGGTGCTGCCCAGTTTATTTCTGGAAGCACTCACACATTGAGAAACCCTATCTAAATATGTTGGTATCATCAGCAATAGTTTTCAGTTCTCAGATCAATGTATGGAACTTACTGCAAGTAGTCCCTGCCAGAGGGCCTCATTTACTTGTTTATCAGATCATGATGCCAAATTTATCAGATTGTTTTGTGTTTTTTGCATTGATAACACTTTCAACTGTATGTTAAAACATTACCATGCATATGTTTACCATTGTACCATTCTAGAAAGCAGGGTCGGATGCTCTGGAACTCAATCTATCCTGTCCCCACGGTATGGGAGAGAGAGGCATGGGGCTGGCCTGTGGACAGGTGAGGGTGACCTTGTGTTTTGACTGTATCCCACAGGTTCATTTTGACCTGAATGTTAAACACTGTTTCCCACAGGTTCATTTTGACCTGAATGTTGTCTGTTTTTATCAAGAATTAAAATAAGAATGGGTTGAAAATATCACTGATATTATTAAAACAAGATTTAGCCATATAAAGTCTTGTATAATGATAGTGATCTTTTAATCTCATCTCAGGATCCCGAATTGGTGCGAAATATTTGCCGGTGGGTGAGAGAGGCCATCAAGATCCCATTCTTTGCAAAGCTGACCCCAAATGTGACCAGCATCGCTGTCATAGCTGAGGCTGCGTACGAAGGTGAGAGTGTTGCTGCTGTTGCATGTTGTCATGGTGTTACTGGTGTAACCATGTAGTCTGAAGTCAGTAGCTGTTGCCTGGAGCTATTTATATCTGTCTTATTTTATTTTCAATTTAATCTCTTGCATTTTGACTTTCAAGTTAAGTTTAACATTTAGTTAAACTTTATGAAGTCATAATACCACAAGAACTTTTAAAAGTAAGCATTATTTATTTTGAATTTTGACTGAAGAGCATAGTCCCCCTTTCACTGAACTCCTTAAGTTTTGACAGCATGTATCAAGATGAAATTGAGTTTTGCTTTTGTTACCAACCACTGGTTTGTCTGGTCCAGACATTGCCGAGAGACCACCATGATATAGCCTGCTGTGCCATGACACAACTGTTTGCTTCCTGCTATGCTTATTAAATCCATAACTAACATCCAGGTAAAGCTGACGGAGTGACTGCCACAAATACTGTCTCCGGTCTGATGGGATTACGGAGTAATGCTACTGCCTGGCCCAGCATTGGCAAGGAACATCGCACCACATATGGAGGTGTGTCTGGCAATGCTATCCGACCAATTGCACTGCGTGCAGTGTCTGACATTGGCCGCCACCTCCCTAACTTCCCTATCCTGGCCACTGGTGGAATAGACTCAGCTGATGCAGGACTGCAGTTCCTTCAGGCTGGGGCTTCTGCTCTACAGGTAGGGTCACAAGGGTGGACAACTCTGAACACAAGGGTGGACAACTCTGAACACAAGGGTGGATAACTCTTAACTCAAGGGTGGAATGTGTAAATAGTTGATGTATTATTTTTTCAAAAATATTTATGTTGGTTCATTGAAAGGATTAGTTGATGATTACAGGCTATCTAACCCAAATTCTTCCATGTAGTATGGCTATAACATAGAGATCCTGAATTGAGGTATGCTGTATGGAACTTGGTAATGCTACAAGCTCCTCACAGCGATAGTACGTTCCCAGAGCTCTCTATACTATCGCTGCCACCAGTCAAAACTCCCCACTGTGAATAGGTGGCCACAACCATGCTTGGAGTTGAACTCGCAACTGAATGACCGTTATGTTTACAAACAAGTGACGACTGTCGGGACGCCGTATACACTTATCGCTGCTAAATTACTTTCTTCGTTTGTCAATTTGAATTTCTGTTTCATTAAAACTATCGTGTTATTGATATAGTAAGAATGTAAGGGAGAAGTTGGTTGATTTTCCGTTAGTCTGCAATCTCGAACCAATCTGATTATCAAAACAACAAAGTAAATTCATCTGGAAAACATGGTCAGTCGTAAACCTTTTCAAATTGAAATATGATGGCATTCCCAAAGACATAAACAAAAGTATAAATGTTACTACATATGGGGTTTTATTTTGCTGAATTATTGTGACTTTGGAGCTGTGATCTCAGTTTTTGTCAGTGACTGTATTTTTGTCATTGCCGGTCAAAGTTTCTTAATTATTGCTTTTATCCGCTTTGTATTTGATGGGTGTGTTGTTGTGAATAATGCTTTATCATGCTCATTAAACTTATACTAATTAAGGAATGATTTTTACACTTCAGTTGTGCGAGGTTCACTATTTAATACAATATAATTCATCTAACATTTCATCATGTAACTTTGTACTCATATTATACTTGTGGTAAAATAATGGCATTTGCGATTAAGGTAATTTAAATTTTTTAAGTTTTGTTATTTCCATGTGAACAAAACATGACTTATTTTCTTTCTTTCATTACTTTTTTCTTTTTCTTACTCTTATTATCAACAATTTTTTTCATAATTTTTACAAGGAACCATTGTGGTAGGGGGGTTATCTACCTGTGTACGACAGTTCTGACCCATGCAGTGTTGCTGTAGGTATGCAGTGCTATACAGAACCAGGACTTCATGGTGGTGCAGGACTATATATCTGGTCTGGGGGTGGGGTTGGGTTGGGGAGGGAGGGGAGGGGAGGGGAGGAGAATGTCGTCTACCTGTCTACGACAGTTCTGACCTATGCAGTGTTGCTGTAGGTATGCAGTGCTATACAGAACCAGGACTTCACGGTGGTGCAGGACTATATATCCGGGCTGAAGACCCTGCTGTATCTGCAAGGCATTGACCAGCTGGTCAACTGGGATGGCCAGAGTCCTCCGGTCCCAAAACACCAGAAGGGAAAGCCCGTGCCCCGGGTTGTCGACCTCATCGGAAAAGTGAGACTTAATTGTTTTCCTTGACAGCATGTCTAATAATAATTCCAAACTATACTGAGTTAGTGTCCATGGCTTTAAAGAGGTTACAAATTCAATTTTAATGGGTGTTGTTTAATAGATAATTTCTATATGGAAGATTTCCAGAATGGTGGTTGTTTTGTATTGGAAATATGGACTGAGTCTTTATAAGTTGTATTTGTTGAACCTTTGTCACACAGCATAGTAATTACATGTGCAGAGGTCTTCTTTAAAAAATAAGATGAATATATACTACTCAAAAGAAGTTGAGGACCACCTGATTCTTTCTTATTACTGTAGTTATTTTGTCATGCAATGACATGTTATATCACAGCATGACATCTTGATGTGGGAGGAAAGCCTGAAATGATGCAGGTCTGAGACATTTACCACTTCAGTGAAACCCACAAGCCCAGGTATGGTGTTGACAACCCTAGAAACATAAGTGATGCAAACTGGGATTCTATTCCACAAGCATAGGTTTCTGGTGTGCCCAAAGGATGCAACTCTGCACTCTGCGATGGCCACACCACCTGTAAAATGGCTACTGTCAAACTCATTATCAGTTATATCATTTTGACATCTCCAATTACCAGCTGGTAATTGGCAGAGAATAGGAGCCCCTTGGAGTGTAGACAGGTTGCATCTGCTGCACTGTGCGCAGGTGCTGTATGTCACAGACTGGCTTATCGACTGTCAAAGGTGAAGGGCATGATGGAAATGTTTGTGTTTGGTCTTCCAGCATCTGCCATCATTCGGTCTGTACATGAAAGAACGGGATGAAGCTATAGCAAAGGTGAAGGTCAAGGCCGACTTGCTGGGGAATGACAACAAACTGGTACCTCTCCGACCAGCAAATGCGCCAAAGAAGTCTGTGCCCTCTGTGAAGGATATGATTGGTAAAGCTCTCCCGATGATCGGCACTTACAATGACCTTGACAACAAACAGCAAGTAGTTGCCTTGATAGATGAGGTGAGCGCAGATGGTGGATTGGTATTCACAATAAATAGATTAAAGTTATCCGTGATGTTTTGCTATATGGCAATTATTGTAAATGAGAGTCATCAGCTTGAACGCATCACAGGCAATTTTAAATACATGGGTTTTTTTTATAGATTTTTTATAATAGGATAAAAATAATTGACACAATATGTCACATGTCTCAAGTGTCATTAAGTGTTCCTATCTCCAACCCTGTGATGTAGACACACACACACACACACACACACACACACACACACACACACTAACGCACACACTAACACCAATACTCACTAACACACCCAAACATAAACACAGTGACACACCCACACATCAACACTAACACACTCACTGACACATCCTAAAGCACACACACACACACTGACACACCCACACACTATTACACACACCCTACAGCACTGTCTTCACTTCCAGGACATGTGCATCAACTGTGGCAAGTGCTACATGACCTGCAACGACTCCGGTTACCAAGCCATAGAGTTTGACCCTGAGACGCATCTCCCTCATGTAACAGATGACTGCACAGGTAGGCAGGAGCAGGCAGTTACGATGCTACTTTGTTTGTGGATGTATGAAACTGTAGGATGTCAGTTCACCAGGGATGTCACAAAAGTTGGAATGTAATTTTGATAAGTGGGTTCACAAAGTGATGAGAACATAAAGGTCGTATTGAGATTCTGTTTGCCTTGCGTCTGCAACAAAGATGGCAGCTACAGTATGTGATTGTATGTCTGAACATTCATTCTTACAGCCTCTCTTTCTGTTGTGTTTGATGTATACTGCTCAAAAGTAGTTAAGGAACTCCCGCTTGTTTCATATTACTATAGTTAATCTGTTATGACAGATTAACTATAGTAATTTGAATAAATCAGGTGTTCTTTAGCTTCTTCGGTGTAGTATACTTTCGTTTTTAAAAATCTTTTTGCATCTACTAATGTAAATTGCATGTTTGTGTTATGGGATGTAGACTAGTGGATAATTTGGTAGTCAATCGGTAAATGGATTGAAGTTCATTGGTTACATTGAAACCAAAATGATTGAGTGTCAGTGGTGCTGTCAAAGCTTCAACACAGTGGTGCAGTGGCCTAGTGGTTAAAGCGGTCGCCTGTCATGCCAAAGACCAGTTTCGATTCCCCACATTTCGTGTCCTCCGCCTTGATATTGCTGGAATATTGCTAAAAGCAGCGTAAAACTTACTCACTCATTCAACATGTTCAAGTTTGTGCTGGAATACATATTGTTATTTGTTTTTGTCAGTGAGAAACAAGAAAACAACAACAGTGCCTCAGCTTGACCAAATACTAACGTTAGAGGTCTCTGTTCCACAAAGAAATCCTAGAACAATGACTGTTGTAACTCGCTTACTCCAACAGTGAGTTTTACGTTGCTTTTAGCAATATTCCAGCAATATCATGGCGGTGGACACCTGAAACTCGGCTTCCCACATTGTACCCGTGTGGGGAATCAAACCTGGGTCTTAGGCGTGACGAGCAAACACTTTAATCACTAGGCCGGCCCACCGCCCCTTACTGGAACAGACCTACATTGGAGCTATGATGGCATGTGGAAGAGCCATTGCTTTCAGTTCTGTAGCAGGAAACTATGGTTAGGATGGGGCACCCTGTTTGACCTCAGTGCTGTTTGACCCAAGTGCTGTCATGGCTGTATGTTGGTCACTCTGGTTGTGTTGCAGGCTGTACCTTGTGCTTATCCGTGTGCCCGATCATGGACTGCATCACAATGGTCAAGCGAGAAATCCCCTACATCCCCAAGCGTGGCATATCCCTCAATGTCAGCAACATCTCCGCTCCAGCTGTCGTCTTGGCAACCAACTAGAGAGACATGCCAACATAAGTCCAGATGAAGTCTGCTTCCTTGAAATAACATTTACAACAATCATGTCTTTTGAAAAACATACAGTACTATTTGAAGCCAGTTGTAAAATCGAAATATTGCCTCTTAAATATTTTAACCACATATGGATAAGACGTTCATCTATACATTTCTGTATGTTAGTGTGCTATCGTATTTACTGTAACAAGGGAACTTAGGAAATTGGCATAAACAAAAGGAGCGAGGAGACTTATTAATACCTTACACAAGTTAAATTTGTTTTTAGACATCAAGCTTTAGTGAACTAACTCAGAACAAACTTCAATGAAACAAACTTTTTCCAGAATAATTACTTGACATTTATCTACCTTGATATGCAGCTGTTTCCTGCAACATATCTGAAATATACACAAGAACATACAGACTGTCATGACAGTTTTCGCTCTTAGTCAGAGCGCATATATAGATTAATTACAATTTGGCCTAGAAGTTGTTCAGGTGAATATGGTAATTATTTAGCAAATGGATAAAATGTGTGCATTTACATATTTCCCTCAGTTTCCAACATGCATTTCATTTCATGGATGATGTGATACAGTGCTATGATGTCATGAAACGAGGTTACACAGCTTTGCAATAATTCCATTCACTTTTGTTGTAAGCAATGATATATGATGCCATTTCTTTAACGTTTAGTCCATTATTCTCAGCTTTATCGTTTCATCTTGACAATGGATTTACCGGTACTTAAAATATGTTGTTAAGGGATTTCTGATACACGACTTGAACATTATAGTTATAGGTGCAAAATGGGATTTCAAGTATGTGATGTAAATTTGATATTGATATCACTAAGTTTGCCTGTCACCTTAAAGTAAATTGGGACAAGAATCTCTCTGTTGACATTATTAGGATTACCCATACACTAGCATAAACTATTTACGCTGTAAGAAACAAGATACTGCTGTCCTGTGTTTGGGAGTAATTTTGTACACGCAACTGCCGTGAATGAATGAGGTGCACATCATATTGGGGTCATTCAGATATCTGCCCAAAATTGAGAACGCAGCAGACTATTAAGAAAACACCATAGGAATAAAGGCAAATCAGCTGTATGTGAGGAAAGTGTTAGCTAGCAGTGTTGTGTTTGAGTTTTGTTGTCAACAATACATCTTTGAAAAAGTTCTCAGGGAAGTGGTGCTGATGGTGTATTAGAATATCAACTTGAGGCCATACAAGGGAATGCATGCTTCTTTTCCTGTTCCCACTTAATACATACATGCACAAGTACGCATCAAAATATGTATGAACATACACATCCAAATGACATCTTTGAATTTGTTATGACAGTTGACTTAATAGTGATGGAGTCTGTGTCGAAAGGCAACAATATGGATATAGTTATAGTCATTGGAAATTGAGACCATGCCTTATGAACTGGATATGAAAAGCTAAAGAGGACATATTAAAACAATTACAAACAAATCTGACATAAAAAGAATGTTATGTATGTAGATTTTATGATGATTGTTATAATTGTTTTTTGTGAGAAGAATATCTGTATTAATGTACTATTCCTTCAGCTTAATGAGGGTTATTTTTTTTTCAGTATTCGGAATATATGGTCAAATGCATGGTATAAATATGTATATGTTAACATTTGTTGATTTTCCTTGTGGTTGATTGTTAGAACTGTTGCATGCGTCCACAATCATATGTTGATCTCTGATGGAGAATCGCTCCTCTCAAGTCAAGTGCTTGTTGAGTATGTTAGTATGACCTAGCCCAGGATGTCATTGCTTCCTTCTGCTGTATGTAGTGTGTGTGTCAGGGTAGGTCATGTACAGTAACAGGCTCTATACGGGCCAGTTTGTTGTCGACTACCTTCCATGTAGCGGTCGTAGAGCTACAACTAGCGTAAGTCTAAACATATGGGAGTTACAACAATCACCCCACCATGGTAGCATTGTGGTAAACTCACCAGTATTTGGATCACCGATTCAACATTGAAACAAATGAAAAATGGTGTACGTAAAAATGTCCTTTATAAACAATTTTTTTTAGTAATTTGTGATTTGTGTTAATTAGTATTCAGGATTTGGGGGTGAGCAATGAGACTCAGAGTGAACAATAAGATGGTATTTGGAATTCAAGTGAGGGGCTCAGTGGTAAGATCGCTTTGTCAGAGACACCTCCGGTAGCTAATGTGATAAACTCATTTCACAGAGAGGCCTTAGTGACATGTCAATCATGGTATGTGTATTGTAGTAACACAGTCTCTTACTGTTCCTTGCCCAACTTCAAATGGTACTCACAGCTTTATATCTAATACATGTTGTTTTCTGTACAATTTGAGTTTCCAATTGTGCATAAGTTTTGCTTATGATCAAGGCATTCATTACAATCTGTTTCAGCTCATCGTTTACGTACCATTTCATGGTTTGAAGTGAGCTCAATATTCCCAGCATGCAGAGTTTTACTGATTCTTGACCTTCAGATAACCTTGACCTTCAGGATATACATGACCTTCAAACAACCTTGACCTCTTGACATTAATCCAGTGTATAGATCTTCTATACTCCCTCTTGTAACTCAGGTGAAGTTAGGAATCACTGACAGTGCTGCATCAGTTCATCTGGTCATATGTCATGTGAGTTTGGTGTGACAAGTTGTCCTGTGTCATCTGTAAATGTTTCATACGTTCAACTTCTCCAGAACTGCATGACGGATTGAGCTGAAAGTGTGCCTTATACCCAGAGAATCCAACGCCTTCAGATCTGAAGCCTTGTTAACAATATTGTAAAGTAGTTTACAGATCCAAGCATCATCTTCAATTAGATTGCATCATGGTAGATGATCTTGGTAATAATATTTGCTGTTGTTTATTCCATGAAAACAACTGATACAGTGATTCTGAAAATGTTCATGGTGATTACACCTGTTTTCTCTCACCAAATCATAAATTGGGATGGAATTTTTTTTGAGACAATGTAATACCAAAAGGCTAAGTGTACACCGTGACATTTGATTTGTGCAAGGCGAACTTCTCAGTAAAGTCTTTTTGACATTTTTCCCAATTTATATTACTAGTTTACCAGACAGGTAATTATGTAAATACTTGGCATCATGCATGTTTTGACCTATACATGAAACAGGAATCCAGTAGAGCATTCACACTGCTTATACAAATATTCAAGACACAATTTTGGGGTCTTTTATAATATTGACTTGTGGTTGATCTATGTGTCACCTGACCTCCATAATCTCAAATCAGTGACATATTGGGGAATATGTATGCAAATGTAGACAACTGGCAATAAAATCATACATAGATAGTGACATTGTTTTGTTTTTAATATATATATATATACTTATTGTACAGTATTAAATAAGACAGTCCAGTAAGGATTTGGGGTAAAATAGGTGGTCAGCAACTATGCTGGTGGTATGAGGCGGTAACAGTTTTGGCGGTTATGTTACCCCATCTGGGTGGATTGTTGCTAGGGCTTAGATGGGTCCAAATTAACTACCTGGGTACCGATACCCCTATTGCGTGACCCTACCCAGGTACCCACTGTAGGTTTCAAGAGATATGTACAAAATATTCGATATAAATAGTTTGACCATAGCCCTGGGAAATGTATTGCGATACATGTATAAAACGATCTGATCATGCATACATTGAAGTTGACTGAAGTTTTATCCTTATTCAAACATATAATAGTCAGAAGGAGTGGGTGCATAGTCAGAAAGAAATGTGAAAATTATTACTTGTGGCATAACGATAGAGTTAGATAATATATCATGTGACTAACAATTGGGTCCTTTTGGTCCTGTGGGTACCTGGGTCCTTCTCAGGAAGTTGGTCCAACTGACCAGAGTACCCGCATTACCTGTCCAAGCCCTTATTGTTGCTCATAATATCAATCATGGGTTTGTTAGGTTGACACATATTTCTTACAGACTGTGTCATTTATCATCCAGCTCCCGCAGGAGATATCCTTGGGTGAGATCTACATTGTAGATATCGCTGCAATGATATTGCATCAAAATGCTTTGCAGACCATTGTGATGTCATTGGTTACAATCAAATGAAATCACTAATGGCTCTGCTACTGAAGCTGTTAGCAGTACTTTTTACACATAAGACACTGCTTATTACTGTCTACAAACTGAAAAAGTTGGAAGAATGATGTTGGATGACAAATAAAATCTCACCCTGGTGTCTTTTGATAGCAAATAGCAATTGGTACATGATGACATGCATCAAACTAAGTCAGCCTCGCTGACTATTAGATCCTGTTCTCGCTTCTTGTCACAAGCATGGGTTGCACAAGACCAATTCTGCATGGGTCTTTTGAACATTATGTCAGCCATATCAGCTTTAAATGGATGTAAGCCCAAATTGATATTGATTTTTACCACTTGGTTGAAATCCACCTGCACAGAGGTTCATAGTCAGTGAAACTGGGCTTTCGAGCCCAGGGATCCAGGCATGACAAGGGAACGTAACTCTGAAAAGGTGTATTTTTGCATCCACCACTGGGTCTTCCTTGCCCCAAGTAGCATTGAAGACATTTGCATCTGAACCAGCATACGGCAGTGGTGATTCTGGGTTAGAATAGGTCCCTAACAACCTATGCTGGTCGTAAGGGTCAGGGACTTGGTTGATTGCACGTCATCATACCCAACGGCAGGGATCGTTGCTCATAATATCAATCACTGGATTGTCGATTATTTGCATCCAGCTGGAATATTGTTCAATGTGAGTCAATATTTCTTTCATTGTCAGATCAAGTTGGTTTGACTGTATTATACCACATGCCTTGAATTAGAAAAATAACACAAACGTAATATTCTATTAAAAAAAGGTTAAAGAACACCTGATTTTTCATACCACTACACTATATAAAGCGCCATGGCAGACATAACTATCCTTGAGTAGTATATTGACAAACAAAACAAAACCGTCAGTCTGAAATAAATCTGACCCAACATCGTAAAGTGAGCCAATAAGGACATAAGGAGAAACACAACGGTTATTTTGGGGATGAATAGTAATTTTTCTTATAAAATTTCCACCAATAATCACATGAGGAAACTTAGTTGGTTAAGCAAATAAGAAGAATAAACAGAATCAATCTGTTTCTAAGATGTATTTATTTTTATATCTAAGATATACATTATTTCGTCTTTTGTTCATTCCGAATGCGGTAAAATCCTGTTTCAAACTCATGTGAACCTGCAGGGTGGTTTAGGCTACACCCCGATGACTTTTACCCGCTGTTAACTCATGTGATTATAATGGTACCTACGCGATAAATCGGAAAGAGAAATGAAGAACGAAGCATGGTTTGTTTCGGGATAAAACATTGTTCTATCATAAGGTCATTTCTGGAGATTCGAATATGCGCTCGCAACGTGATGACGACGTGATGATATTGGACGACGTTATTTTTGAAAGGGAAGTGTCCAGTGAGTTGTTCCCCATAGATGTAGCTGGGGTACGCAAATAAACGCAGTGGCCGAACGATCGCATCCAAAAGTGGGATATGGCAATCTGGGGCATTAGGGGAAAGGGTACAGATAATCGAAGTAAGGATTGTGGGAATATGCGGGAAAGAACAAATTTAACCCACCTGTTCTTAAAATAGACGTGTCCGACATTGCCGAGGTCATCATATTAAAATAAAGGTAACTATTTGTAAAGCTTGCACATGTTATCAACATCCTTAAATAGGCTATACATAATAAAAAGCTGCTGTATTTGGGTCCTCACTTCGGGTGTTTCCGTAAGAAACCGCTGCCTTGCGCCTCTCATGGTTTATCCTCCCTGCAATATTTTATTGTAGGATAAACAACTCCCTAGACTGGTTCCCGGATCCTCCGCTTGCTGTCACTTTTCTTGCTCTGCTTTCCAAGGAAAGGACTGGTATCGCCCACCCGTCTGTCGCAGGAACGAACAGGAACCAGTCTAACAACCCCCACTCTTCGTTTATTTCTTAATTAAATGTATTAAATTTTATTTCTTTCATTTGGTAATTATAAAAGCTCCAGGAACATAAAGCACCTGGAATATGAGATTTTTGAACTAAAAACAACAAACCAAACCAAACCAAAGTAGGAGGCAGCCAGATGTAAGTCGTGTAATCCCGAGCAAAGAAATTGTGACGACTACAACACTATTACGTCATCACAAAGAACGTGACGCATTACACACTTGTGACGTCACAGAAGGCAAGCGGGCTTTTCTACTCCACGAAGGCATCATCGCAGAGAGTTGCGGAGAACTGCAATTTGTTAGTAGTACAGTTTAACTACGCCAAAGACGATTTTGTTTCCACACAATGGATAACGGGTATGCTTTTTTACCTTTGTATTCGTAGCATCTATGAACAATGACTACCTTTAAACGAAAACACATCTTTCAAAGATATGTATGCCGTTGCCATGGCTTGTTCATCAGCTTGAAACTATGCTGCCCTGATAAACTTTCCCTGGATCTACACATAATGACAAGGGGTAAATCCCCTTTAGACACCTAACAACTCGTATACATCTTCGTTACGTGACAAATGCAATATATTATTGATCAAATTCATTTTAAACTCTACAGTATATACTGTAAGTTGATACGTAAGTAAGCACATTTATTCAGAATCAGATAAATACTTGTTTTTTTTCATGCACAAATGTGCACGCTAATGTATCCAACTACAGCGTGTGATATCCGATATATACAAAACATGTATATACCAATAATACACTTGTACACATGGAAATGAAGACGCCACTTGTAGAATATAAGTGTGTTTACATTATTGTTTATTCGTCATTTGACAGATCACATGTATGTAGTTGATTATTTTCACGAGATAAGGAAATCACAGCATGACAAACACCTCATAACATTTACTTAACAACATATGGCCTGAACTAGACATGAAATTGTTTTACCCACAGACAAGAAGGACCCCCACCCCCTTCGAGGGATGGGCATGGCAACACCCGGAGGGTCATCGGCATCAGGAGGTAGGGATGCTACTCTTTTGACACTGTCCCGCCATCTTGTTATGCTTACATATCTTGGGCTGTGCAAGGAATTAAATATTTCTAGGGCACTGGAATACTGAACATGTGAAACATTTACAGGACTGTAAATCATGAACTTAATGCGAGTGCCGATACTGAACCAAAAATGCCTCCTGAAATTAATGCGAGCAGCCCAACCTTTGATATTTCATATTATATATATGTTATGCTTACATATGTCGGGCTGCGGAAGGAATTAATTATTTCTTGGGCACAGGAATACTGAACATATGAAACATATACAGGACTGAAAATCATGAAATTAATGCGAGTGCCGATACTGAACCAAAAATGCCTCCTGAAATTAATGCGAGCAGCCAAAACTTTGATATTTTATATCATATATATGTTGTTTTAATAGAAAGGTCTAGTGTGCGATTTTGTGTAGTGATTCCTGAAAAATACTGTCTTCTTTTTCGCCTAGTAACGAAGGATTAAAACATCATAATATTGTTAGATTAGAATATCGTATACGTTCTACGCAACACACTGTCAACGTGTGAAGACGTACCCTCGACCTGCTGCAGTAACTCTTACATGTTCAGAGGGGATGAGATGCTATTTAAAACTAATGTGGTACAAATAAATAAATAAATAAATAAATAAATAGCGAAGAAAGACACAACGAGTGACAGTACCGTGTCTGAAAATACAGCACTGCCGCAAAGACAAGAACCCGACAATGTCTTTAACAGTTTCATGTTCTTGCTTTGCTTTAAAATACATTTTTTCAGGTTAATAGAAATTGTACAAGGTCGTTCAAAGGTCTAAAAATGTCTTTTATTCTCATTTTGTAAAATTCCCTTATGTAGTTAGAATTATTACCTTTTCACTTTGATTTATTTTACGTATCAAACGTTCAATTCATTATTATATTTCTACCTTCTTCTCTTCCGTTGTCGCATGCTTTAAGTATATATACCACTCAAAAGAATAAAAGGAAATGTCATGACAGATTAACTACAGTAATATGAAAGAATAGGTTTCTTTGACGTCTTTAGAGTGGTATCAATATAACATACGTTTTGTCTTATATTTCTCAAACACTAATGTTTTAAACACGTGACTTATGTTTACATATCCATTTGTGTAGAATCCACTACGCGGGGACAGGGCTTCCCCCAGTGGAGACAGCGGATTCCCCCGAGAATATCCACAGCGGAGGGGCCAGTCCTTCCGAGCCAGTCGCAGAGAAAGAGGGGTGGGTGGATTGGAGTTGTGGGCTGTTTAAAGGGTGGGTGGGGGTTCGTGGTCTGTGAAAGGAGAAAGTAGTTTGTGTAGTCTTGAGTTTTGTGTTGAGTTTAGCTTTTTTTTTTTGGGGGGGGGGGTATTTACATGGGTAATGAAATTTGAGCAATTTTGTGGCAAACTTTCATAAATTAGATTTGAAGAGGACATTGAATCCATCACTATAAGCACACCACCACCACCATCATCATCATCGTCACCATCACCACCACCATCATCATCTATTATGTCTTATGATAGTTGATACCTTAACCCTCGTGAAATTCTGATAAGAAAGCATTACAGCTTAGTTTAATCAGATTCTGACTTCCTACCCTATTACAGCGAATCCCCCGAGCCTCCAAGCTCCCCGGAACTTCCCGTCCTCAACCAGCAGGAGATCCAGGACTTCTACAGGGAGTCTCTCCTCGCCCAGAAGGCCGCAGACAGGTCAGAGATAGGCCTTGGTGTACAGCAGGGAGTCTATTGTATGCCTTAGTTTAACGAGAGATCATATTACAGCAAGGACACTGTATTAAGCCTCTTAGACGCCATGGTTTAGTGTAACGAGTGAAGATGTTATAGCAGGGAGTCTATTGTATGCCTTAGTTTAACGAGAGATCATATTACAGCAAGGACACTGTATTAAGCCTCTTAGACGCCATGGTTTAGTGTAACGAGTGAAGATGTTATAGCAGGGAGTCTATTGTATGCCTTAGTTTAACGAGAGATCATATTACAGCAAGGACACTGTATTAAGCCTCTTAGACGCCATGGTTTAGTGTAACGAGTGAAGATGTTATAGCAGGGAGTCTATTGTATGCCTTAGTTTAACGAGAGATCACATTACAGCAAGGACACTGTATTAAGCCTCTTAGACGCCATGGTTTAGTGTAACGAGTGAAGATGTTATAGCAGGGAGTCTATTGTATGCCTTAGTTTAACGAGAGATCATATTACAGCAAGGACACTGTATTACGCCTCTTAGACGCCATGGTTTAGTGTAACGAGTGAAGATGTTATAGCAGGGAGTCTATTGTATGCCTTAGTTTAACGAGAGATCATATTACAGCAAGGACACTGTATTAAGCCTCTTAGACGCCATGGTTTAGTGTAACAAGTGAAGATGTTATAGCAGGGAGTCTATTGTATGCCTTAGTTTAACGAGAGATCATATTACAGCAAGGACACTGTATTAAGCCTCTTAGACGCCATGGTTTAGTGTAACGAGTGAAGATGTTATAGCAGGGAGTCTATTGTATGCCTTAGTTTAACGAGAGATCACATTACAGCAAGGACACTGTATGAAGCCTCTTAGACGCCATGGTTTAGTGTAACGAGTGAAGATGTTATAGCAGGGAGTCTATTGTATGCCTTAGTTTAACGAGAGATCACATTACAGCAAGGACACTGTATTACGCCTCTTAGACGCCATGGTTTAGTGTAACGAGTGAAGATGTTATAGCAGGGAGTCTATTGTATGCCTTAGTTTAACGAGAAATCATATTACAGCAAGGACACTGTATGAAGCCTCTTAGACGCCATGGTTTAGTGTAACGAGTGAACATGTCATAGCAGGGAGTCTCTTGTATGCCTTAGTTTAACGAGAGATCATATTACAGCAAGGACACTGTATTAAGCCTCTTAGACGCCATGGTTTAGTGTAACGAGTGAAGATGTTATAGCAGGGAGTCTATTGTATGCCTTAGTTTAACGAGAGATCATATTACAGCAAGGAAACTGAATTAAGCCTCTTAGACGCCATGGTTTAGTGTAACGAGTGAAGATGTTATAGCAGGGAGTCTATTGTATGCCTTAGTTTAACGAGAGATCACATTACAGCAAGGACACTGTATTAAGCCTCTTAGACGCCATGGTTTAGTGTAACGAGTGAAGATGTTATAGCAGGGAGTCTATTGTATGCCTTAGTTTAACGAGAGATCATATTGCAGCAAGGACACTGTATTAAGCCTCTTAGACGCCATGGTTTAGTGTAACGAGTGAAGATGTTATAGCAGGGAGTCTATTGTATGCCTTAGTTTAACGAGAGATCATATTACAGCAAGGACACTGTATTAAGCCTCTTAGACGCCATGGTTTAGTGTAACGAGTGAAGATGTTATAGCAGGGAGTCTATTGTATGCCTTAGTTTAACGAGAGATCATATTACAGCAAGGACACTGTATGAAGCCTCTTAGACGCCATGGTTTAGTGTAACGAGTGAAGATGTTATAGCAGGGAGTCTATTGTATGCCTTAGTTTAACGAGAGATCATATTACAGCAAGGACACTGTATGAAGCCTCTTAGACGCCATGGTTTAGTGTAACGAGTGAAGATGTTATAGCAGGGAGTCTATTGTATGCCTTAGTTTAACGAGAGATCATATTACAGCAAGGACACTGTATTAAGCCTCTTAGACGCCATGGTTTAGTGTAACGAGTGAAGATGTTATAGCAGGGAGTCTAGTGTATGCCTTAGTTTAACGAGAGATCATATTACAGCAAGGACACTGTATGAAGCCTCTTAGACGCCATGGTTTGGTGTATCACAGCAATTACATAAGAGTAGACGCCGACATTGGACGGTACACATGTATACTCTCTCAGGACTTGATCAAATTACTCGTGATGGGTTCTCCGCTGAGACAGAGGGACCGACCATTGGGTATTCTGGTGGGGGCGTGGGGTTTTGTAAGGAAACTGGGTATTTTTTCAGCTATATTTTCAAATCCATAAAAAAATGTTTAATCAAAACTATGAGCCTAAACATTTCTTTACCCAAAACACGTTGCAACAATGTTTACCCATGCACAAAAGTTAAGCGCCACCCACCATATTTGTGAGCTGTTACTTTTGGCACTTAATGATGACTTTTATAACGAGATGAACAATTGTTATAAGCCGTATATGTAAATCTCATGTGATGCAAAAGTTGTCCCAAAGCAAGTTTATCTTGTGTTCCAAAAGAATATGAGCAGAAAGGAATTTTACCAAAGACCAGAAATTGAAGGATTAGAAAACATTGAAAAACTTTTTTTGTCATGTAACTGTCATGATATGATCAGACCATATCAGATGTCACATAGACACCCTAGGGAGTGGAGAGGCTATTGCAAGACCGAAACGTCAGTAACGTGTGTATGATCCACGGACATTGACCACAGCTTCAACCCTACGCCTCATACTCATTACAAGTCGTTGAATGCTTCTCTGAAGCAAACGGATCCGTTCTTCATGAAGTGCGGCTTCAAGTCCAGCGAGATTTTGAACTGGGGGATCACGATGGCTGATTTTCCAGCCAAGAATGTCCCAGAGATGCTCAATCGGATTAAGATCCGGACTACAGGCCGGCCAAGGAAGAGTGGCAATAGCTTCTTGACGCAAATAAGCTAAAACTGCCCGAGATCTGTGTGGTCTAGCATTGTCGTCCATGTAAACAGGTCTTGTCTGAAGGGGATGGTTGTCAAAATGAAGGACTACCACTGGACGAAGAACGGCATCTTGGTATTGTTGGCCATTCAGGTTTCAACGAATTGACACCAGCGGAAATTTGCAGCCAAAGGAAACACAACCCCATATCATGACAGACCCCCGCCACATGCTAAGGTCTTCTGGATGTTCCTTGGTGCAAAACGAGTGTTACGTTGCCTCCAAACACGTATTCGACCATCAACAGTTCGTAGCAGCATTCGACACTCGTCAAACCAATGGATTCTTCTCCAGTTGGTCAAGTTCCATCGACTACGGGCACGACACCATATCAGACGATTCCGCATGTGCCTCTCAGTCAGGACGTTTTACTGGTCTTCAGCCGCTCTGAGGTGACACCTTACGGTCATCGTCGAGAGTCTCTGATGGGTAATCCACTGCAGTCTTAAATCTGTTGAAGTGGCAAATGGATCTCGTCTGACTATCCCGAAAAGACGTCTATCCTCTCTGTTAGAGGTCTTTCTTGGCCTACCAGACCTATGCCTGTCATTGACAACATTGGTTTGACCATGTTTGACAATCAAACGAGTGATAACACTGTGATGACGACCCATTTGTCTTGCAATGGTCCTGCATGACATGCCAGCATTTTTCATCACTTGCCATCTTTCAGCGTTCGTTAACTTTCTCCTCACCATGGCTGATTTTCAACCTCTATTGGAAGGGGAATCTCACACAGGAGCAAAATGCAACCACGTGTCTGAAACTTGAATTTCACTATTTATAGGGTAAGGGAACTGCAGAAACACGTAAAGCACGCTTTCTGTGTTGTATCTGGACAAATTTGGGTTCTTGAAACTATGGAAGCCTAATTCAGTCATACATCATCATGTTTCGTATTTCTGATTCCCACACGTGACATCAAGAGACTATGAATATGGTGGCGCTTAACTTTTGTGCATGTATATATTTTGTGTGGCGGCATAATCTGGAAGCATAATAATTGTTTTCAAGCATTTTCTGGGACAATACCTTCTTTGCGATAAAATCAATGCCATTTAAAAGATATCATCGCCTGTCATGTCCTCACTGGGATAACAATCTTGTGTGCTCTAAACGGTTATACACCATATATGATATGTGGTTTCAGTGCCAGAAAGCTGACCACATCCACTAGCCCGGACAATGAGCTGATGTTCTATGACTCGTAAGTTTCCTGTCTCCATTAGCACTTACTTAGAACATAAACTTCTCTCCGACACTCTGGAGGATTAATTTCATTACAGAATGATATACTAATCCACTTTTGATAGGGATGTTTGGTTTTTTTTTATCTTTCTAGGATACACACAATTGATTCTTATTGCACGTCACATGTATATTTAAATAAAACGACATATCTGATTGTCCCTGTCAAAAGTTGAGTAGTATATAATAGATGTGGTCTTGGCTACTAGATATATTCTAGTTGTTGTCCTAACCAGACGTGTATTTACCAAGCCCAATAAAACCTACTTGTCGATGTTAAAAATGGATAATATTATTGGCTGAACCTATTTGTACATATACGATATTCAAAACCAGTTCAAGAACACCCACAATGGGAAAGCTCAGTGTTGCAATATCGACTAGCAATGACAGATTAACTGTAGTCGTAAAAACGAATCAGGTGTTCTTTAACTTCTTTTGAGTAGTAAATACAGTGAGCTGAAATGGTAACCATGGACACCAACACCAATCCCCAACACGAGGGGTTGTGTGACAAATGGTTTTCTGTCGGTACCAACAGTTCCCGGGCCCTATTCCTCAAAGCGATCTTAGTGCAAAGACTAAGCTGACTTTAAAGATGGGAGTCACAACCTTGACTCCAAGGCGGCTAAGATCGAATTGTGCATAATGAATAAGGTTTCGGTATGGTGATTGTAAAGTTGATTGTAAGCGCCTAAGATCGATTGTAACTAAGGTTGGTCTGTACAAGTGGAAGGGCACGGGTGGTTGAGTCGTCTATGGCACCGCGATTCGCTGTGCAGAGTTGCGTCCCTTGGGCACGCAAGAAACCTATGATTGTGGGTTCGAATCCCGGTTCGTACCGATTATGTTTCTAGGTTTGTCAGCACCATACCCGTGCTCGTGGGTTTCACCGAAGTGGTAAACGTCTGAGACCTGTATCACTTCGGGCTTTCCTCCCACATTAAGCTGACACGCCGCGATATAACTGTAATACTGTTAAAACCGGCGTTAAACCCAACTCACTCACTCACTCACTCACTCACTCACTGTATAAGTGGGCCCTGGAATTGGTTTAGTTTAATCCGAAACATGAACACGGGTCTGCTGCTGAAATGATGTTATAACGAATCAAAATAACATTGATATTGTTCTTTCTGGTTCCCAAAGCCAACTAAACACACATTTCAGACTGTTTTTGTATATACAATGCTCAACATTTGCCAAGGACCAACATTGTCATCTTCGGGCGGTGATCCTTAGCAAATGTTGAGTAGTATAGTTATTGTACACACCAGTAATGGTATTATTGCTGTAAAATAAGACTTGACAATAAAAGGACAGGACACTGATGTTTGTTGCCTCGTTTCCTCAAAGCGCAAGCAGTGGAAGCCAGGCCACCAACCCAGAACTACTGGAGGCAAAGACTGGATCGAGATCCGACATGGCACCATACGAAGACAGGTACTTGCTTTGGGTGAAGTTAAAAAGTACAATTTATGATAATACACATTTCCGTAAGTATGGAGAAAAATACCCCACAACTACGACGGATATGTACGGAGTTAACGGAGTTAACTTATGGCGATTAGAGATTTTACTGTTTGACTGGGACTGTCAAGGTGTTATGATTTTTATCCAACATCAAACTATAAAACTGGTGTTAGAGAATGTTTTTTTATTGAGTTAAAATTAATAATTTTGGGAGTTCTGAAATAAAGGAACATGTGTTTCAGTGTTATTTTTGTTTGATTTACATGAAAAATAGAAAAATAATAGAACGTGTTCCCTAAAACCACATCTGAGCGTTCGTCGGATTCGTTTTATATAGTTAAAACAGTCCACATCATGCCCCATAACCTCTCCACCAAGGCGTGAAGAACGAACCTCTAAGAACCGTTCAAGTATCTGTTTACCTGTATTTAAGTCTTTGTTATCTTTGGTGTTATTTATTCATTAAACATATGATCAGTTTTCAATAACACTTGTTTCCTTTTGAAAAACATGAGGCTGTGTCTACATTGGACACGGTTGAAACGCATGGCATTACTATTTGTTCTTTGAATAATACAGGTCATATTTACGAAATGTTATCATTGTGAGTCCCATTGCTAATGTCAACACTTTATATAGTGTATGTATCACTAACAACATTGACATTACTTATGAAAGATTCTTTCGTTTGTTGCAATTCTGTATTCCTATTTCAGAGGTCTGTCGCCTAGTTCGCTTGTGAACGATGACTTAAAATGCGAGGATGCACGTGCAATCTCACCCTCACTGAGTGTACACATCTCACGTGCCACCTCACCAACAGGTGTTAGCATCTCACGTGCAACATCACCAACAGCAGGTGTCAGCATCTCACGTGCCACCTCACCAACAGCAGGTGTCAGCATCTCACGTGCCACCTCGCCAACAGGTGTTAGCATCTCACGTGCAACATCACCAACGGCAGGTGTCAGCATCTCACGAGCATCAACACCAACAGTAGGTGTCAGCATCTCACGTGCCACCTCGCCAAGAACAGGTGTCAGCATCTCACGTGCAACATCACCAACAGCAGGTGTCAGCATCTCACGAGCATCAACACCAACAGCAGGTGTCAGCATCTCACGTGCCACCTCGTCAACAACAGTTGTCGGCATCTCACGAGCATCAACACCAACAGCAGGTGTCAGCATCCCACAAGACCCCTCAAACGAAGGTAGAAGTTCATTGAGTATATATATAGTGAGCTCAGGAGGCGATGTGTTGCTCAGGAAGCGCTCGTAAAATTTCAAAATCTATGTAACATATCCTCAAGCAACATTGATCAATAGTAACAATTTTCAATATAATGCAATAACCTGATGCATCCAGTTTGATGGTAGATTTGGTCGGTAGTGAAGCAGTCGGTGATGGGATGGCCGGTAAGAGGAAACTGCTAAAAATAACCTACAATTACCTGTCACATATCCTCTAGTTGTCTCACAGTCCCAGAACCATATCCTTTCCCCATCCGCCTAGCCCTTACAGTAATGCTATAGCTCTTAAAGAAGCAAGTTTAGATTTATTATTGTTCTCAATAATATCATGTATTTACTTACAGTGGTATCTGCAGCCAGGCAAACAACAGGCATCCGCAGACGCATTCGTCGGGTAGGTACATATGTCCTTGATAAATTACATTTACTTGTCATCAAACACAACCACCAAAATAGTCCGTCATCAATTATATAATCACTGCAATGTGTTTTTTCAAAGGTATCTGACAGTGTCTGCTGTCTGTTACTTCATGCCAGTGCCTGCCAGTGTCTGCTAGTATCTGACAGTGTCTGTTACTTCATGCCAGTTCCTGCCAGTGTCTGATAGTATCTGACAGTGTCTGCTGCTGGTGTCTGTTACTGCATGCCAGTTCCTGCCAGTTCCTGTCAGTGCCTGGCAGTGTCTGCTGGTGTCTGTTACTTCATGCCAGTTCCTGCCAGTGTCTGATAGTATCTGACAGTGTCTGCTGCTGGTGTCTGTTACTGCATGCCAGTACCTGCCAGTGTCTGCTAGTATCTGACAGTGCCTGACTGACAGTGTCTACTGCTGGTGTCTGTTACTGCATGCCAGTTCCTGTCAGTGCCTGGCAGTGTCTGCTGGTGTCTGTTACTTCATGCCAGTTCCTGCCAGTGTCTGCTGGTGCCTGACAGTGCCTGCCAGTGTCTGCTGGTGTCTGTTACTGCATGCCAGTGCCTGCCAGTGTCTGCTAGTATCTGACAGTGCCTGACTGACAGTGTCTACTGCTGGTGTCTGTAACTGCATGCCAGTTCCTGCCAGTTCCTGTCAGTGCCTGACAGTGCCTGTCAGTGTCTGCTGGTGTCTGTTACTTCATGCCAGTGCCTGCCAGTGTCTGCTAGTATCTGACAGTGTCTGCTGCTGGTGTCTGTTACTGCATGCCAGTACCTGCCAGTGTCTGCTAGTATCTGACAGTGTCTGCTGCTGGTGTCTGTTACTGCATGCCAGTACCTGCCAGTGTCTGCTAGTATCTGACAGTGTCTACTGCTGGTGTCTGTTACTGCATGCCAGTTCCTGCCAGTTCCTGTCAGTGCCTGACAGTGCCTGTCAGTGTCTGCTGGTGTCTGTTACTTCATGCCAGTGCCTGCCAGTGTCTGCTAGTATCTGACAGTGTCTGCTGCCGGTGTCTGTTACTGCGAGCCAGTACCTGCCAGTGTCTGCTAGTATCTGACAGTGTCTGCTGCTGGTGTCTGTTACTGCATGCCAGTACCTGCCAGTGTCTGCTAGTATCTGACAGTGTCTGCTGCTGGTGTCTGTTACTGCATGCCAGTGCCTGCCAGTGTCTGCTGCTGGTGTCTGTTACTGCATGCAGGTACCTGCCAGTGTCTGCTGGTGCCTGACAGTGTCGGCTGGTGTCAGCCAGTGACTTCTGGTGCTTGGTGGTGTACGTTACTGCATGAAAATGTCTGCTAGTGCCTGACAGTTTCTGCTAGAGTCTGCCAGTATCTGTGAGTGCCTGATAGTGTTTGCTGGCGTCTGTTACTGCATAACAGTGTCTGCCAGTGCCTGACAGTCCCAGCCAGTGTCTGCTAGTGCCTTCTAAAGCATGCCAGTGTCTGCTGGTATCTGTTACTACCTGGCAGTGTATGCCAGTTCCAGACAGTGTCAACCAGTGTCTGCCAGTGTCTCCTGGTGTCTGCTAGTGCCTGATGATGTCTGACTGTATCTGCTGGTGTCTGTTACTGCATGCCAGTGTCTGACTGCCTGACTGTCTGAAAGTGTCTGCTGGTGTCTGTTACTGCATGCCAGTGCCTGCCAGTATCTGGCAGTGCCTGACTGCCTGACAGTGTCGGCTGGTGTCAGCCAGTGTCTGCTAGTGCCTTCTAAAGCATGCCAGTGCCTGCTGGTGTCTGTTACTGCCTGCCAGTGTCTGCTAGTGCCTGCCAGTATCTGACAGTGCCTGACTGTCTGACGGTGTCAGCCAGTGTCTGCTAGTGCCTTCTAAAGCATGCCAGTGCCTGCTGGTGTCTGTTACCGCCTGCCAGTGTCTGCTAGTGCCTGCCAGTATCTGACAGTGCCTGACTGTCTGACGGTGTCTGTTACCGCCTGCCAGTGTCTGCTAGTGCCTGCCAGTATCTGACAGTGCCTGACTGTCTGACGGTGTCTGTTACTGCCTGCCAGTGTCTGCTAGTGCCTGCCAGTATCTGACAGTGCCTGACTGTCTGACGGTGTCGGCTGGTGTCAGCCAGTGTCTGCTAGTGCCTTCTAAAACATGCCAGTGCCTGCTGGTGTCTGTTACCGCCTGCCAGTGTCTGCTAGTGCCTGCCAGTATCTGACAGTGCCTGACTGTCTGACGGTGTCTGCCAGTGCCTGCAAGTGTCTACAGCTGTCTGCTAGTGCCTGAGTGTCTGGCAGTGCCTGCTAGCGTCTGTATTTCAATTTAACAGTTAACATTACACAGACAAACCCGTGAAGATGAGGGTCTTCAGCAACCCATACTTGTCGTAAGAGAAGACTAACGGGGTTGGGTGGTCAGGCTCGCTGACTCGGTTGATGCATGTCACCGTATCCCAAATGTGTAGATCTATGATGTTTATCACTGGATTGTCTGGTCCAGACTCGATTACATACAGACCGCCGTCATACAACTATTGCTGACCCCGGCGTTTAAAAACAAGCACACAAACAAAACACAGATACACGGTCTCAGTTTCAGCCTTGTATTAAATACAAAATGTAGAACAAGGCAGCAGATAGGCAGCAGATCCCTCCTTGAGGATATTTGTTATCTATTCATAATACACAAAACTGATTCTCATAACATGTCAAGTTTAGATTCAAATAGAATGACGTATCTGGTTTTATTACCCATATGGGCTCAAATATGCAGTGTAATAACTTTTTGATATTTGCACAGTGTGCAATTAGTGATTCTTGATCGGCGACAGTTGATGTTTTTTTTCTTGAAACATGTCTTTAATATGAATATGGGTAATAAATAGAATAACCCACTCGGTACGAGTGATTACGCAAAATATGTCACTCGTGAAATTAATGTTTTAAGTTCCTCGCTAAAGCTCGGAACTTAAAACATTAATTTCACGTGTGACATATTTTCCGTAATCATTTGTACCTCGTGGGTTATTCTATAAATCCCTACCAAATGTTCAGTAATATAATAACCAAAGTGTTCACTTTGCTAGCCCTGGAGAAGGAAACGTGTTGCTTGAACTTGCTTTAAATCATGAATACACAACTGAGTTTAAACATTATTTTCAGGCATTCTCCCGACTTCTCAGGCCATTCAGATCCTGCTTTGGCCACCGCTAAGATCCTTGGTTCAAAACGATATCACGGCAGCAACACTATCATTGGCTCTCCAAATCACGTGTGTAGAGGTCAAAGGTAATCCAGGTGTGTAGTCAGGGTAGTCCTGTAAAAGTGCATTGTGAAAGGGTGGGATGGAGAGGTCGTCAATGTCAATGTCCCTGTTTTGATGAGTACTCTGTTAGATGGAAGTTCACAATGCAAGTGATATTTTTACCTAATCAGTGTTTTATCCCCCCAAATATGGTGTGGCATTTTATCGAAATACGCTTTGAATTACCTGAAATTTGTATCTATCAATACATAACAATGTACGAAAAGCTATGTATTGATATAATACAAAGATATATTGCAAAAGATTAGTGAATAATATGTGAATTAATTTGAAATATAAGCAAAATGTTATGAATATGAAACACACAGGCAAAACCTGAACAGAGGCAAAGCATCAACGCCCTTGGGGTTGTGACAATAAGTTTCACTTTCTCAATAACTGAAATGCCTATTCATATGTACAGAAGCGATAAATTAATAAAGCAATTATAACTGATAATTTCGTAATGTAAACTAGTAAAATACGAATTATGTTGTGTGAAGGCACAATAATGTATGTGTTGTTGTCGATAAATGTCCAGTGAAAACAGGAAAGCAATGCACCTGCTGGTTATCAAAACTATTTGTTTGATATCGGTAAAAAGCGTTTAATATACATCCAGTTAAATAATAAGAATTGTGTTTAGTGAAGGCACAATAAAATATGTATTGTTGTTAATAAATATCTATTGTTGTTAATAAATATCTAGTGAAAACCGAAAAGCAATGCGCCTGCTGGTTATCAAAACTATTTGTTTGATATCGGTAAAAAGCGTTTAATATACATCCAGTTAAATAATAAGATATGTGTTTAGTGAAGGCACAATAATATATGTATTGTTGTTAATATATATCTAGTGAAAACAGAAAAGCAATGCACCTGCTGGTTATCAAAATTATTTGTTTGATATCGGTAAAAAGCATTTAATATACATCCAGTGAAATAATAAGAATTGTGTTTAGTGAAGGCACAATAATATATGTACTGTTGTTAATAAATATCTATTGTTGTTAATAAATATCTAGTGAAAACAGAAAAGCAATGCACCTGCTGGTTATCAAAACTATTTGTTTGATATCAGTAAAAAGCGTTTAATATACATCCAGTTAAATAGTAAGAATTGTGTTCAGTGAAGGCACAATAATATATGTACTGTTGTTAATAAATATCTATTGTTGTTAATAAATATCTAGTGAAAACAGAAAAGCAATGCACCTGCTGGTTATCAAAACTATTTGTTTGATATCGGTAAAAAGCATTTGTAAACTGAAAATGTCGTAATATATATACGGTGAAATAAGAATAATTGTGTTTAGAGAAGGCACAATAATATATGTACTGTTGTTAATAAATATCTAGAGAAAAGAGAAAATCAATGCACCTGCTGGTTATCAAAACTATTTGCTTGATGTCGGTAAAAAGCATTGAATTTACATCCAGAAAAATAATAAGAATTGTGTTCAGTGAAGGCACAATAATATATGTATTGTTGTTAATATATATCTAGTGAAAACAGAAAATCAATGCACCTGCTGGTTATCAAAACTATTTGTTTGATATCGGTAAAACGCATTGGTAAATTCAAAATTTCATAATATATATGCAGTGAAATTATAAGAATTGTGTTTAGAGAAGGCACAATAATATATGTACTGTTGTTAATAAATATCTAGTGAAAACAGAAAATCAATGCACCTGCTGGTTATCAAAACTGTTTGTTTGATATCGGTAAAAAGCATTTAATATACATCCAGTGAAAAAATAAGAATTGTGTTCAGTGAAGGCACAATAATATATGTATTGTTGTTAATATATATCTTGTGAAAACAGAAAAGCAATGCACCTGCTGGTTATCAAAACTATTTATTTGATATCGGTAAAAAGCATTTGTAAACTGAAAATGTCGTAATATATATACAGTGAAATAGTAAGAATTGTGTTTAGAGAGGGCACAATAACATATGTATTGTTGCTAAAATATATATAGTGAAAACAGAAAATCAATGCACCTGCTGGTTATCAAAACTGTTTGTTTGATATCAATAAAAAGCATTGAATATACATCCATTGAAATAATAAGAATTGTGTTTAGAGAAGGCACAATAATATATGTATTGTTGTAAATAAATATCTAGTGAAAACAGAAAAGCAATGCACCTGCTGGTTATCAAAACTATTTGTTTGATATCGGTAAAACGCATTGGTAAATTCAAAATTTCATAATATATATGCAGTGAAATTATAAGAATTGTGTTTAGAGAAGGCACAATAATATATGTAGTGTTGTTAATAAATATCTAGAGAAAAGAGAAAAGCAATGCACCTGCTGGTTATCAAAACTATTTGCTTGATATCGGTAAAAAGCATTTAATATACATCCAGTAAAATAATAAGAATTGTGTTCAATGAAGGCACAATAATATATGTATTGTTGTTAATATATATCTAGTGAAAACAGAAAATCAATGCACCTGCTGGTTATCAAAACTATTTGTTTGATATCGGTAAAAAGCATTTGTAAACCGAAAATTCCGTAATATAGATACATTGAAATAAGAAGAATTGTGTTCAGTGAAGGCACAATAATATATGTATTGTTGTTATGTATATCTAGTGAAAAATAGAAAATCAATGCACCTGCTGGTTATCAAAACTATTTGCTTGATATCGGTAAAAAGCATTTAATATACATCCAGTAAAATAATAAGAATTGTGTTCAGTGAAGGCACAATAATATATGTATGGTTGTTAATATATATCTAGTGAAAACAGAAAAGCAATGCACCTGCTGGTTATCAAAACTATTTGTTTAATATCGGTAAAAAGCATTTAATATACATCCAGTGAAATAATAAGAATTGTGTTCAGTGAAGGCACAAAAATATATGTATTGTTGTTAATATATATCTAGTGAAAACAGAAAAGCAATGCACCTGCTGGTTATCAAAACTATTTGTTTGATATCGGTAAAAAGCATTTGTAAACTGAAAATGTCGTAATATATATACAGTGAAATAGTAAGAATTGTGTTTAGAGAGGGCACAATAACATATGTATTGTTGCTAAAATATATATAGTGAAAACAGAAAATCAATGCACCTGCTGGTTATCAAAACTGTTTGTTTGATATCAATAAAAAGCATTGAATATACATCCATTGAAATAATAAGAATTGTGTTTAGAGAAGGCACAATAATATATGTATTGTTGTAAATAAATATCTAGTGAAAACAGAAAAGCAATGCACCTGCTGGTTATCAAAACTATTTGTTTGATATCGATAAAACGCATTGGTAAATTCAAAATTTCATAATATATATGCAGTGAAATTATAAGAATTGTGTTTAGAGAAGGCACAATAATATATGTAGTGTTGTTAATAAATATCTAGAGAAAAGAGAAAAGCAATGCACCTGCTGGTTATCAAAACTATTTGCTTGATATCGGTAAAAAGCATTTAATATACATCCAGTAAAATAATAAGAATTGTGTTCAATGAAGGCACAATAATATATGTATTGTTGTTAATATATATCTAGTTAAAACAGAAAATCATTGCACCTGCTGGTTATCAAAACTATTTGTTTGATATCGGTAAAAAGCATTTGTAAACCGAAAATTCCGTAATATATATACATTGAAATAAGAAGAATTGTGTTCAGTGAAGGCACAATAATATATGTATTGTTGTTATGTATATCTAGTGAAAAATAGAAAATCAATGCACCTGCTGGTTATCAAAACTATTTGCTTGATATCGGTAAAAAGCATTTAATATACATCCAGTAAAATAATAAGAATTGTGTTCAGTGAAGGCACAATAATATGTGTATGGTTGTTAATATATATCTAGTGAAAACAGAAAAGCAATGCACCTGCTGGTTATCAAAACTATTTGTTTAATATCGGTAAAAAGCATTTAATATACATCCAGTGAAATAATAAGAATTGTGTTCAGTGAAGGCACAAAAATATATGTATTGTTGTTAATATATATCTAGTGAAAACAGAAAATCAATGCACCTGCTGGTTATCAAAACTATTTGTTTGATATCGGTAAAAAGCATTTGTAAACTGAAAATGTCGTAATATATATACAGTGAAATAATAAGAATTGTGTTTAGAGAGGGCACAATAACATATGTATTGTTGCTAATATATATCTAGTGAAAACAGAAAAATCAATGCACCTGCTGGTTATCAAAACTGTTTGTTTGATATCAATAAAAAGCATTGAATATACATCCATTGAAATAATAAGAATTGTGTTTAGAGAAGGCACAATAATATATGTATTGTTGTTAATAAATATCTAGTGAAAACAGAAAAGCAATGCACCTGCTGGTTATCAAAACTATTTGCTTGATATCGGTAAAAAGCATTTAATATACAACCAGTGAAATAATAAGAATTGTGTTCAGTGAAGGCACAATAATATATGTATTGTTGTTAATATATATCTAGTGAAAACAGAAAATCAATGCACCTGCTGGTTATCAAAACTATTTGTTTGATATCGGTAAAAAGCATTTGAAAACTGAAAATTTCGTAATATATATACAGTAAAATAAGAAGAATTGTGTTCAGTGAAGGCACAATAATATATGTATTGTTGTTAATATATATCTAGTGAAAACAGAAAATCAATGCACCTGCTGGCTATAAAAACTATTTGTTTCATATCGGTAAAAAGCATTTAATATACAACCAGTGAAATAATAAGAATTGTGTTCAGTGAAGGCACAATAATATATGTAGTGTTGTTAATATATATCTAGTGAAAACAGAAAATGAATGCACCTGCTGGATATCAAAACTATTTGTTTGATATCGGTAAAAAGCATTGAATATACATCCAGTGAAATAATAAAAATTGTGTTTAGAGAAGGCACAATAATATATGTATTGTTGTTAATAAATAGCTAGTGAAAACAGAAAAGCAATGCACCTGCTGGTTATCAAAACTATGTTTGATATCGTTAAAAAGCAT